TCTGGTAATGACTAACAGTTTGCTATTGAAAATGACCATAGAAATAGTGGATTTACCCATTAAAAATGGTGATTTTCCATAGTCATGTTAGTTTACCAGAGGGTAAAACTCGTCCAAGAGAGTGTATAAAAAATTCGCTTACGATTATGATTAGATACTCTCCGATAGCTACAATGTGAGGCCCCCCAGTTATGTTTGTTGGTTTAGATTCGCCCCAGTAACTAGTTCGTTATTTGCGTACCATAAACCAGTTCGTGAGTTATTGGAGTTATGTGAACCCCAACTTTTCACGCTATCTTTCTAGCCGGGGACCTCACTAATTGTAGGGGGTTCTTCCATAGTTCCAATTAATGTTCCCAGCACCGTGGCCCAAATGGGATGATCGGAGAGGTGTGGCCCAGGTGTTCCCAGCGGTGGAGCTCCTCAACCCGTCCAGATCGTGCGGCGGAACAGTGGTGGAGCTGCTCCTGGCGCTGACCCGAGCGAGGCGGTGGAGGCGCGGCGCGCCGATTCCACTTTACGAATGGGCAGATCTGAAAGGCGCCGGGGTTTTACCTATGAGATGTGCATCTACATAGATGATGTGGATATATCATCTAGATAAATGTGGATCTATGATGTGGATTTGGGATGATCATTGGATTATCTATGATGATATAGAAAAAAGGGGGAGTTCCTGGGCGAAAGTTCCTTGGGTCATATTCAGACATAGATCCAAGGTGAATGACACTTACCCTCTGGTTATGACTAACAGTTCGCCATGGTATTTTGATGGCCCATAGAAATAGCTGATTTTCCCAGCTAGAAAGCACTATTTATTTACGGGATTTTCCATGGCTATGTTAGTCATAACCAGATGGTGCATATGAACTGCACATAGATTCAGATCAAGTGGTACCGGGTTCACCAGGCACTCTAACAGATAGCACACACTGCACTGTCTCCAGGCAAGCGGCGCTGCATCATGAAGCCGTGCCACGCAAAAAGCAGCGTAAACCCATGGGACCTGGCCCTGTTAATCATCTGGGTTTGGACCTGGAAACTGGAGTCTACCCTCCAAATGACCATGGGAAGATGAGGACAATTTATATAATAACCCATGGGAATTGGTGCTACCTTATTTCCAGATTTCCACCCATGTCATGTAGAAGAATTGCCTCATGGAAATAGCAGGGACTGGGGCAGTTTGATCATCTTGCGGGGGGCACCAGGCTCTATTGATCCCCTCATCCGGGTTTATATTGATCACTATTAAATACTATTAAATACTATTAAATTTTATTATAAATTATTGACATGTCATTGTTTGAAGCAGTTTTTGGGTCAATTGACACAGGGATGGCTATGGCCGCTATGGTTTGCCATCGGGAATCCGCAAGATTACGCTCTGCGGCTTCAAGCCGCCGGTGACATCTGTGACCTGGGACCTGTAAATTTTCCCTGTAAACATGACCATAAAGTAATGGGTACCCTCTGGTAATGACTAACAGTTTGCTATTGAAAATGGCCATAGAAATAGTGGATTTTCCCATTGGAAATGGTGATTTTCCATAGTTATGTTAGTTTACCAGAGGGTAAGTCCCACTCTTTGAGACGAACACCAAAGACCAAAGCTGCCGGCTGGGGCTTCGAATTTTGGTTTTCGCTTTTTCATGTTTTTTTTAGCTGTTGGAGTGATGTGACAACATCTTGACATGTCGTTGGGAGTTGGAAGGATAGTCTCAAACCCTGTTCAGAACCACATTTCTTTATTGAACAAAACACATGTGGTTGTCTCAAACTCTCCCCTTGCAGGAAATGTTTTCGGCTGCAGGGGGAAGCTGTCCCACCACTCCGATCGCTGACCCACCACTCATTGACTGGATCCATGTTTTGTCAGAATCTTAAATTTTAAAATCTTGAACTTCAACATGAAAAACCAGCTTTTCGGGCCCATCATTTTTCACATCGAAGACATATAGAGTCGACCTCTGCGGCTGATCCCATCCCAGATATCCCAGATCACCTGAGCTGCCGCGGCTCAAGTCCAGGGAGTTCACAACAAGACATCTGACCATGGACATAGAAAGAGTTGATTTACCCACTGAAAATGGTGATTTTCCCACTAGTTATGTGGCTGTTTACCAGAGGGTCTATATCTACTGGTTGGTGGTTTGGAACATGTTTTTTTTATGACTTTCCATTCAGTTGGGAATATCATCATCCCAACTGACGACCTCATATTTTTCAGAGGGGTAGGTATACCACCAAGCAGATTAAGTGACGACCGGGGATCCCACATTTTAAGACATTTTAAGAACCCGTCTCGTCAAGCAGCAAGCACTGAACGAACCAACGAGCCAGGAAGTGGCTCACTGGGCGTAGACACACACAATGAAAAACATCAACAGTTTTCTAATGTTTGATCGATACACAGTTCATACATTAAATATCATTAAATATCAATCATGATATTGAAGTCGTATTTTTTGGTTGTAGGTGTTTGCCCATAATTCCTGCTTTCGGTCAATGTCCTAACATGTCACTCAAAGGAATCATCCAGGTGGTATCCATAGAAAAATCACCAAACCCGCGCTGGACATGGGCCTCTCTGCCAGGCGCCAACCGCTGCCAACCCACATCCCCGGTCCACCTGGTAGCGAAGACATAATATCATTGATGTTGGTTTCTTGGAAACTAGTGACATTGGTTGGGTCCCCCCAGAAATCATCTGTGCTCCAATCTATGGTACATGATAGCCGAATTGCGGAGGGAAATGATAGGTGATCAATCGTGGGAGCCTGGTTATCTAGACATGTTTCCGCTCCAAACGTATCTAGGGAGTTGTTGAAGATCTATTATCTGCATGGTTACTGGGAACAGGCTATTTCCTGGGTCGACCTCGGTCAATAAAATTGGAGAATCACTGGAGCGTACTTGACGACTGAGGCATGTTGATGGATGAGGCCTATTATACCTTTCGCAGCAAAAGGCGTGGAACCAGCCATGTTTATCATGTTTTGGACCTGAAGGCTATATTTGTCCAGTTGAGGCTGTGGGTCAATGTAAGAAAACATATGGATGGATCTTATCCGATGCAGATTGCCAGCGAGATTTTTACATCGAGTTGTTCAAGCCTTTCATGTGTCGATCGAGGGGTTTACATAATCGATCATAATGGTAAGCTCGGCATACAGGATGGTGCCCCCCCAGTTATAAGTTGGTTTATAAACCCCATTACATAACTATAGTTATATCTGCCATAAACCATGGTTATGGGAATTATGTTCACCAACTTAGCTAACTACGGGGCACCACCTTGTAGGATAAGTTTTCATGCCGGATACTGGCACAGATGCGACACATTTCATCATATTTCATCCAAATCCCCAGTGAAATTTATGCGACAAGAACTTGATGCGACGAAAGATGCTGAAATCGAAGATCTGAAGATCCGAAGATCCGAAGATCGCTGGCATTCGCTGGCCGACCTGCCATTTAGGGCTCAGTGAAATCCTACCTGCCCCGCGTTCTCTAAGCCAAGTCATCCTCTACCTGAGGCACAGAACTGGGCTGTAAAAAGATTGCTTGGAGAGTCAGCGAAAGGGAATTTTACAGGTTAAGAAATATGGGACTTTGAACAAAAAACATGGAGATATGATATATATATATATATGTGTTTTTGTTTACACGCATCTGTGGCAATATGATACATGTGGGATGTTTTTGTTGACACTAAACTGGGAGTTGAAGCAGCTCAAACGGTGATATAACCATATCTACAGAACCTGTGATGGGTAAACCAACTGGTGAGTGGTTGTTATGGTTTTGTATGTTTTGTTTGTTTGTGGGTCACTTCTTAGATGTTGTTTTGGAGACATCAGACGTATCGGAGGGTGGAACATTTTTGGTGGGTCGATCAATGGCGCGCGGATGTGCGATCTGGACAAGACAGCTTAGGGAGAGACTGATGGACTTAGATTTACTTCTGGTTGGTGGTTTGGAACATGATTTTTATGACCTTCCATATATTGGGAACAATAATCCCAACTGACTAATATGTTTCAGAGGGGTTGAAACCACCAACCAGACTTAGTCGATGACGTACCCTCCATGAGTATGAAACAATAAAAAACATTGTACTTGGACCATTGATGGACTTAAATAAATATGTACTTGGACTGTTGAAAATCGATGAAAATCACGATGGGTGATTTCTCATTGCTGTAGCCTCTGCAGAATTCAGAGTTTTTTGTGGAACATGGCTCACTGATAATTATCCAGTTCCATACTGTACCTGATGCCCCCCCAGTTATAAGTTGGTTTATAAACCCCATTAACTATAGTTATATCTGCCATAAACCATAGTGAAATGGGAGTTATGTTCACCAACTGAACGCTAACTACGGGGCATCCAGTTCCATACGGTACCTGAGGCTATCGACCAGTGATTCATCGCTAAGTTGGAGGGCACCACCTCGCACGTGTAGACCGTGTAGACTCCAAAACTTGACCCTTAATTACAAATAAGGCAGATAAGGATGGGGCCCCCCAGTGATATGTTATTTTATAACACCATCATACCCCATCTAAATATAGTTATAAGATGTTATAAGTATCATATACTATTGTTATTATAGTGATAAACCAACTTGTTTGATCAAGAACCAAGAATCCGCAACCTCCGTTAGTGGCCGAAAGTATATGGCAACAAAGACTGATGACTTCAGGAACGAAATTTGAGCTCGTCAGCTGGGTACCTCCCAAAACCGTTTTTGACAACATTTAAAGTACACAAAGCAACGATCAATTTATCAAGATTTCGACAATATAATACAAATTATCTATAATGTGTATAATGTATATATATATATAATATGTATATATATATATATATGTGGTTGGAGCATCCAACAAACACCATACACTAAAATACGACTCTTGGATGATGGATGTTCTATCCAATTGATCTTTGACCCAGCATCTTCGCCGGTCTCCCTGCGTCGGCAGGTCTCCTCGTAATGCTGGGTGAAATGACAGGAAAAGATCAGAAGAACCAGCCCAGCCGCTGACCTTGAAGGGATGATGTGATGCTGTTGGTACTGGGAGGACAAGATGGGAAACACTCAGACAAACATGGTTAAAAAAACGGTGTTCACCAAGTGAAACATGGGGAAGGTTTTAGGGTGCATACTGTTTTTTTTTCTCACACACAAACTTCATAATTATGATAATCGGGTCTGTCTGAAAATATTGTATACACCGCAGGCATCTTTTCGCTGGGAAAATGTTCCGCGATTTTAATGGATTTTAGAGGTACCCGATTTTCAGACACAGTCATATGATGCAAGAATCGAAGATGAAGCAGAAATCATGGGGATATGTAACCAATGTAGGTGAGACAAGCAACAATAATGTCAATGTGAGCAGGAAAGATGAAGATTTAAGCACTGGTGATGTTGTTTGTTCCTGTTTGTTTCTCTAATACAGCATATAACATATTATATATATATGATCCAACTGGCAAGAGAGAGGTGTTCGATCTATGACACTGGCAGGTCCAAGGGTTGGCAATGTGAGATCACTTGCCAGCTTTGGGTGTATTTCTCTAAATTGATACCTATTGTGTCGGTATCTATATAATATATATAATTATCTATGTTCATGTATTTATATATATACATACATACATAACCTAATAATACCTAATATACAGTACAGTGAAAACACTCATATATCGATCTATTATGTATATATATAATTATATATAATATGTGTTTACTTCAGTGGGTGTTTAAGGGTTTCGTTCTCCATCCCGGTGTCGCTGACCCACCATCCCTGTTTTTTTTACGTTAAAACGACCTTACTTCGGGACGTCACTGGAATGGTGGGAATTGGATTGTAAAAAACTATCCCCGACTTTAATTCACGCTGGTGAAGTACAGTATGTTTTGTTTATCCAACTTAATCCTAAAATGAATACCAAATATACAAAAAAATGTGCTTCTTCCCATACTTGTAGTTGGTAAAAGGACACAACTCAATAAGACATATATTTTTCCCAAAAAGCCACGTCAAATCCAGACACCTTGGCATTTACTAGTTCCAAGATCCAGACACAACCATGATCCGATTTCTCATCAAGATATGAAGTCTGCATGAATTTGGAACAACCCATGAAAACATGGGTATGGATCAATACCTATGAAAATACAATTTTTTGGGGGATGGATGTGAACAGAAGGGGTACTGTTGGTTTTGACACACTGCCAAATAGATACATCAACTATAAATTAGGATCCAAAAAAAGTTGATTTTAATAGTTGATTTACCCAGCTATAAAATGGTGATTTACTGCCACATTCTATTGCTTTGAAACTGAAACCTGCTGGAGATTTCCCCATCTTTGAAAAAGCCTTACCTCTGAGCCGAGGCTTAGTCCTGGCAACTTGGTCAAGGTAAACATTTTTTTTGGACGGTTATGACCCACCCACATTTGGGTTTACCATCTGGTTATGACTAACATAGCCATTGAAAATCCCTTATAAATGGAGGTTTTAATGGGAAAATCATCTATAAATGGGCCATTTTCCCAATGAACATTTGGGTTTGTCTGAAAATGTTGGGTTAATATTCCCAATGAAATAGCCATTGAAAATAGGGATAATGATCAGCAAAACCATTGGGTAAAAAGGGGTACACGACATTTTCAGACACACCCATAGTGTTTTTGGATTTATGTCCCTGGTTTTATCTGGGTTTACCACGTGATTTTTCTTATCACAACTGGGCTTGCTGGGCTTGCTGTGTGAATCACGGGTCACTCTTACGGTGACTCTTACCAAAAGTGGGGGAATCAACTATCGAACGGCCAACGACGTTAACAAACCAAAAGCATATTTATTGCGTTATGATGTTATATGTTTTGTTTTGTTGCTTGTTTTGAAAACAAAACTAACCTTTAACCAACGAACGTAGCAATGTGAGCAGCAGAATTATATGCGTATTTGGTTTGACATTTAGTATAGGCAATTAGGCGAATATGTGTTTTAAGAAAAAACTTAAGGTCAATGGCTAAGATCAAGGACATCCCGAAGACGGGATAGCAGCAATGATGCATGGAGTGATTGATACAAAATGATACAAACACATTGTTTTTCATAAGGTGTAAGGGTGCCAGCATGTGATATTTTCTTGCCCCATCCCCCACCGACAAAGATCACCTAAAAAGGGTACCCTCAGGTTCCATGTTTCATGTGGCTGGGAACTCCCCTGAGGGTACTGGGAAAGCCACGGCTTGAACTAAAATTCGGTGGGTATTTTCCAGCCATCCGACAGTTGATGACCGGAGAAAAGTCACGACTTGCTCGAAAAATGTTGGTTTGATGTTAGTTTTGTTTGATGCCCTTGAATTCGAACACGGCATTTCGTGTATGAAACATTTTGAATGCATCTTCAACGACGATACATAGGGTTCAGAGTGCTTAAACTCTGGCCTTGACCGTGGATACAGAACTCCCCGACACTGTCAGGAGTACCTGTTTCAACAGACAAACATGGAGGTGGCTATATTCACGGGTACACATTGAAGCTGGTTGGTGGTTTGGAACATTTTTTTCCATAATATATGGGATGTCATCTTTCCCATTGACTTTCATATTTTTCAGAGGGGTAGGTATACCACCAACCAGGAAGGATGATTGCTATTCCTACTGGTGATTTTACCTTCCTATGTTTGGCACAGTATATTTGGTGGCTCAGGTGGTTTTGAATCCACTGAACTTCATGCTGAAGATCAGCTCCACAAAACATTGAGCCAACATTGACCACCAGCCCACCAGCACTGTCGCTATCTAAGAAGCCGCTGAGTAACGGACTAGCAACTGGCTTCTAGCCCCCAAAGTACTGTAAGTATAGGACATATCAAAGTTGCATCCCAGTTTACAGACCATTTATCTTAACTGGAATCATTTGGTTGAAGTTTGCATTGTTTTTTTAAAACATTTGTTTGTGGGTTAATCTGCAGAATCAACATGTGCAATTCTTGTTGATCCAATCCCCCAAAAAAATCCTGTCCCCGGTTGGGGTGTCATTTATGCCATTGAGAGATCACCATGAATATGTACAATGTGAGGCCCCCAAGATAGCTAAGTTGCTTTATAACTCCAATAACTTTGGTTTATGGTACTTATAATATCTTATAACTATAGTTACTGGGCCTTATAAACCAACTTATAACTGGGGGGCCTCACACTGTAGCCGTAGCCTCCTGTAAACGTTCACACAATTACTGCTTGGTGGTGACTGGAACCATGGAATTTTATGACTTTCCAGAAACAGTTGGGAATAATCATCCCAACTGACGAACTCATATTTTTCAGAGGGGTAGGTATACCACCAACCAGATTAGATGTGGAGTTTACCAACCATATGTAGATCATTTTTATCGAACGGTGTCCACCGTTGGCCTTCCGCATCCAGAGGCAGCCTACATGCTCTTCACATTCGGCAGCTTGATCGACCCTCGGAAAACAGGGGATGACAAGGCAGATCACAGTGATAGTGAGACAACAAAGAAAACAGTGGATGATAGAAGTAATAAACAACGTATATCATGTACGTCACAATATGTTGATTTTAGAAATGCAATGCAACATGTATATATCATTATAATATATATATATATGTATTATATTATATCCACTATTTATGGGATATGTACACATCCAGTCCACTCTGCAAAACAAATGATCAGTCCACACAAATCAACATCATAAAAGGTGATGCCCCCAAGATATGTTTGTTGGTTTAGAATGTTAAGAACTCCCATTCACTACTGGTTGGTGGTTTGGAACATTTTTCCATTCAGTTGGGAATAATCATCCCAACTGACTTACATATTTTTCAGAGGGGTAGGTATACCACTAACCAGATTATGAACTTAACCATCATTAACCATATAATAACCATATATTAACCATTATTATATAACAGTATATATTAACCACAATGGTAGGTATACCACTAACCAGACTAGTTCCATAGTTCTAATGACAGAAACCCAACCAGTGATTGGAGTGAACTGCAGATCCCAACTTAGTCACCGCACGTCGCCCAAAATATCCATAGCTCCCCGTGACTGTCCTATCCAAAGTCGAGATCGGACTTTTTAGGGAGCTAAAAAAGCTAAGTTTGGCTGTCACTTTGGTTGGGCTCCCTTCAAGTTTGAGAAAATTATGTTGTTGTTGTTGTTGTTGTTGTTCTTGTTCTTGTTCTTGTTCTTGTTGTTGTTGTTGTTGTTGTTGTTGTTGTCGTCGTCGCCTTATTTAGAAGCATGCAGCGTTTGTTGCTTGTGATTATTTAATCAATATAATCCATGCATTCAGTGGTGTTTGGTTGTGGGTATTTATCTAATATTCATTGGTATTTATACTATATATATATACACTCTATAGATGTACTATATATATATAGATAGTCATCCCTAGTAGTACTCGTAGGGATGATTGCTTTTCTGTCCTTTGTCGAGGTGTATCACTTCGTGGCCAATGGAGAGTTTTCCTCCATCCTCACAATGGCTGCTGGTCCTTTTTTAGCGGCACCCACTTGCCCGGCAACAAGAATATTCAATATAGTACAAGTGTTATAGAGTATATAGATAATCATGAACAATGGAATATACTATAATTGTCTGGCATCAAGTGTCGGGATAGATACCATACAGAATGCGATGCTTTCACATGAATAATCACGTCCACCACCATTCTATGGTTCCAAATATGTGTTGTTGTCTATCTATTAACCCATGACATTTTGGGGGGTGTTTGATCCTCATGATGTTTTGCCGTCAAAGCCAATAAGTAAAAAGGAACCCCCGACATCATTAAAGATGAAGTTGAAGCCCCCGCAACAAAATGCATCTGAAAATGGCTATTTGGCTGTGGGTATTTTCAATTTTTCGATCCCCTATATTCTCAATAGATGATTTAGTAAATGATCATTCATAGTTATATTTTCCCCGTAGAAATGGGCATGAAAAAAATATCATGAAATCCACCATTTCTGCTGAACAAAATCCGAGACCCAAACGTTGATCATGGCTGTTCCAGCCCAAGGCTCAGATGATCCAGTGCTTGGCCTTTGTTTTGCTGGTCATCAAGTCCTGCTCTCAAGGCGCCAACGCGCCAGCGAGCTCGCGCCGTTGAAACGTCGATTTTGCCGCTGACTTTGGTGGATCTGGGCTCTGTCTTGAGATAAATTGAACCAAAAATGGACAAAGAATGGGTTTAAACAATGAAAAACGACAACTCAGTGTTTTTTGTTATTAGTGAACAATCAAATTTGCAGGTTTGGTCATGACTTCTTGGGATTCCCACTTTTTTATTCGATCCATTATCTTGGCAGAGAGGGATCAAGCGGGCCCGGAGTCTCATGTTTTTTGGACCTGAAACTGAGAGGATTTATACAATTTACCCCCCATATAGTGATGATATACGGCCATGAAATCATATGACAAATTGATAGAAATTGGGGAGTGTTGTCCCATAATCAGACAGAGCCATGTGGCTCCGAAAAACGCTGCAGGCAGTGTCGCTGGCATCTCTGGGAAGTCTCTGGCACTGGAGGTCGCTCGACTAAAGATGGTAGAAGCGGCCTTGCTGCCTGGTGGATGGGGAAGTTTCTTAGGCCACTATGAGTTCAGTTCCACTGATGTGGGTAAAACAATGTTTTTTGAAGCCACCATGACTGGGGAATGGTAAACATATCATTTATAAAGATGGTGATGACTGGATGGTTCATTGAAGTTCCACTACACAGTAGATGGTCTAATTGGATGTCAAATCCTGAGCCGAACCCATGGAGCTATCTCCGTCAGCTCATGTCGTTGAGCAGCTTTCACGCTGTGGTTCTGGAACTACAACTTTACCCTCTGGTAAACTAACATAGCTATTGAAAATCACCACTTTTAATGGGTAAATCAACTATAAATGGCAATTTTCAATAGCTATCTTAGTTTACCAGAGGGTAACACTCCTTACCTATGTGTTGTCTTTTTCTTGGGGCCACTATTTGCAGGAAGGAATTCAGCCATTGGCCGAATTGGCCGCTCTTATTCATAAAAAATTGTTTGCTGCTTCTGTTGCAATGCGTGGAGGCACCACTGCAAATTCTGGGTAATAGAGAAAATAATCAAGAGCTGATACCCACCTTCAACGTACATGGGGCCTAGTATGGCCCTTTCAGCAGCGAACATCGACAACGGTCCACCATTCTGGCAATAAAGCAGCAGGCCCTTGCCTTTGTTTGCCGCCTGTCCTCAACCACCTGGCTGAACGGCGACTTGGGATTTGGATAGAGGGGTGGATGAGGTTGCGGAAAATCCAAAAAGTTTGGATAGCGGTCCTTTGGGTGAACCTTGGTAAATGCTGGGTGAAAACAATGAGTTCACTTCTGGCTACTGGTGCCATTAACAATATCAACTGTCTTGAATCTAACCACGTCGGCCAAAATATGTATATACAAGCTTTTTGTACCTCTTCATTATATAATGAGCCCTGGGTTAGTATTAAAAGGGTAACTCTTAAACTCTTAACACAAATCCAAAATGTCCAAAAGATTCCAACAAGATCCAAAAAAAACCAAAGGTCCAATACAATCTAATCAAACAAAACCCAAAAGTTCAAACAAACAACAACACAAATCCAAACAATCCAAAAAAGTTCAAGACAAATCCAAAAAGTTACACCAAATTTGATAGAAAAAAACACACACACAAAAACAACAAGTTGAAAAACTAAAGCATAATAAACAAAACATATTAAACAACAAATAACATAAATCCATATATAAAACTCAAAAAATGTTTTTTTCAGAATCTTCAGGAAAATAGTGAAAACTATGTATCTGGAATGAAATGGAATTATTATTGAATTGTAATGATCTATATGGAATATTCCATGAGTGTCCCTATAATGAGTGTCCATCTCCATGGACAAGACCTATCGGACCTATCGATTATTATTCTTGCAAACATAGCTGCAGTCTCATTTTGGCATCAGTTTTAGAATGAGGATGTTTCATGATGTTTCTGTACCCTCTAAAAAAACGTTTACATAACTATTGGAAATCACAACCCTTTGGATAGGTCAATCAACGAACATCAACGAACTAAATGGGCAATGGTCCATCATTTTCCATAGCAAACGGTCCAAACGTTCACCGGAGGCTGCGGAGGCGATTTACCATTTCATGAGGTAAACCTCGAATCCCAGACTCGTCAGATCCCTCGTCAGATCCCAGAGATTGATTGTAGGTGATTGGTTCCTAAAAAAATCATCCATTAGAGATTGTTTACCAGTTACCATCCATTATGAGAAATCCTACAATTAGTGAGGCCCCCGGCCACGATAGCGTGAAAAGTTGGTGAACATAACTCCAATAACTATATAGTGTTTGGTACTTATAACGAACTAGTTACTGGGGCTTATAAACCAACTTATAACTGGGGGGCCTCACATTGTACCAACACAGAATAACAAAGGGACGACAACTGGCGTCCTTTCACATTGCTCGTTTGCTTTTGACGTGGTGACTCCGATTGACAAAGCCTAATGGAATTGAGAGTTTTGCATGGATCCCGTGCAACTCGGTATGTCTTCTTAATTACTACAATGTGAGGCCCCCCAGTTATAAGTTGGTTTATAAGCCCCAGTAACTAGAGTTATAAGTACCATAAACCATAGTTATTGGAGTTATGTTCACCAACTTAGCTATCTTGGGGGCCTCACATTGTAGGTGTGCCACATCATAGGAAAACGACCGTAGATGGTATCGGGATAGTTGGTGTGATACTTCCTGAACCATTTTTTTTTTGCCGGTCATCGACTGGATGGTTTTTGGGACGGTCTTAGTGGATTCACGACATGATGGAAACCGAGTTTGAAACCTTGGCACAGGCTATTTGCCGGTGGATGCATCTGGTGACTTCATCTATCACGCGGCCTGTGAGTTATAACTACACCTTGTTACAAAGGGCATGGTTGGTATGATCCTAATGCGATAAAGCCAACCATACACCTCTTGTTGGGGTTGTTGGGTGATGGAATAGGGTTTTTCATTGGGTTTACGACATGATATACCCTCTGGTTATTTAACATAGCCATGGAAAATGGCCCATTTATAGATGATTTTCCCATTAATACATCCATTTATAAGGGATGTTCCATGACTATGTTAAATAACCAGATGGGAATGATGATACACATGACAAATAATTGTACCGATGATGTTCATCTTTCTGTCAGATCAGCGTTGTCACGGTTGCTGATGGACTGACTTGCAGGCTGATGATAGGCTCAGTTGCTTACTCATCTAGTACAGTACTGTTGCTTGAGTATTTCCAGGAAACAAGCAACTTGGATATTTTCTCTGCCCATGTTCAGAACGCTGAAATCTCCATATGTTTGAAAGTGACACTGTTGAGTTCCACTAACCACAAATATCCAAAGTCAAAGCTTTGTTGCTGGCCATCTAAGCTATCATCTCCAGCGATTTTTCTGTCCCAGCTGGACATCTGCATCCAGACGGTGCTGTCGGAGGCCGTAGACCTTTGCAGTTTGCTCTTGGTGCTGTCCCTGCTCTATCGCGCCTATCTATCACATCGCTGGAGCTATGAGGAGGTGCCCTGGGGAACGATGAAACCACTGGGCTTGCTATGGTTGATGGTTGATCAAATTCACCAATTGGAGGGATTTCTTAAAGCTCAACACTTCGAGTTTGTTAGTGGAATTCACCCACTAGATCCCGGCCACCCAGAGGATCAAGTGGTGAATTATTAATTTTGAAACTAGCTGAGCTGGTGAAGGGGATAACATTCACTTCATTTCACTTGGGGACCCAAAACATCCACAAAGATGCTGCCAGTGACATCGGACCGATGCTGGAACGGTCTCATGAGGATCCTGGACGCATGGACAGAGGAATTCCTGCAAGGGAAAACACAACACAAACAACAGCTGACCTTCATAGATATTGGGAATTGCATTGTGCTAACTATCCCCAAAATCATGAGAATCCAGTTGTCTCCATTTCTGAGTTATACCATTATACCCTTCATCATACCCAGAAAATCAACATTATACCAATTATCATGTTACAATCATGTATATTCACCATTAATCCCATGACTCTAATATTGATTGGTGGTTTGGAACATTTTTCCATAGATTGGAAATAATCATCCCAAGTGACTTTCATATTTTTCAGAGGAGTAGGTCAACTACCAACCAGCTAATATTGAACACTGCCATTGCATGGTCCCAAAAAAAATGTGGAAATTCTCACATGGGTATGGATCAATACCTATTAATACCATTTTTAGGGGGATGAACATCCATTTACCAGCTATTTTGATGTTCACCAGGGGTACAAGGTTTTGACACACTGCCACATCCACCATGGTTTTGTTAAGCGGGTGACTAATATTTATATGAACGGGGGATGGGAGTACAATGGGACATCCACCACGAGCAAAGCGTGCTCCCTATCGGCCATGCATCGGAAGGACATGTTCAATTCTACTCTTAGACACACAATCATAGTATATGATAATATATACGTATATATTATCATATACTATGATATATATATATATACATATATATATATATATTCATATATACATAGGTATCATGTATATATGCACCATCTATCTATGTTGTCCACCCAATTGCCCTTTGTAACCAAGTTACCTGGGGTTGTAACTTGATGCTGATCCCCGTTCCCCAGGAAGCGGATTCTTTGCCAGTGCCCTGACAGCCTTTTTGTCGCGGGCGGTCGCGAGCTGCGGTGGAGTCGGTGAACATACCGATTTGAAGAACGGGTGATTTAAACAATTTAAACACCAATCATGGTTTACCACCAACGAATTGTATTAATCCCGGTGTGTATTTAATCAACTAATTTAACAATCATGAATAATCATGGTGTGTTTTACCACCAACAAATTGTATTAATATCCTGGAGAAATGGAGAAACATTCAGATGATATGCTTAATATCCCTGATGCTTCCGGGAGATTGATTTCAACATAGCAGGCTTTTCAGGTTGGTACTTGGATGGTTGTATGGTCATGTCAAGCCTGACCCATACCCTATATCTTTCCGTCTTGTATCCCCATAATATTGTGTATATATATATGATATATTATGTATGTCTGTATGAATGTACGTATGAATGCTATGTAAAGTAATGCAATGTAGTGTAATGTAGTGTAAGGTAGTGTAATGTAGTGTAATGTAATGCATGTATGTATATGACTATGTATATATATATACATGATTACCCAGCCAGGATTTTTCCATTTAATATTCCCATCTATTGTGATGTTCCCATATATTATCGTCATACCACTAGGACCGGAATGACTTGCACGGCTGAGGTGCTCCCAATGATTGCGGTGTGCTTTTTGCTGGCTGCCTTGCTACATGCGGATATGAACAGTGGGAGCCTCAACCCGGGAGCCCATAAACAAGGTCAGGCCTCCCTAAAGGATAGCAACAACATATGAGTTTACCAGCAAAGATGGTGACTTCATGAGATTCAATCACCATTTTTCCCTAGTTCAATCTCCTTGTTTTCCCAAGTCAAATCACTATTTTAGCGAAGTTGACGCACGGTTCACTTGGTTCACCATGTACTTGGTGGCGAACTACCCACCGATCCTTTTTTTAGGTTATATCATGTTATATCCCTGGTTTTGTTAGTGGGATAGGTAGGGTTACTCCACTTATAACTCAGGTGAACTACTAACTAGTCTACTTACGATTCGTGGGATGAACCGCTAAGTAACCTTTGGTAATGAAGCATGGCTGGCTGGAAAAAGCAACCATTTAGTTCGGTGATTTTGCCATTTTGAATGCCCATTTATTTTTGGAATTTCGATAGGAATGTTTGTTACTATTGAGGCTGGTTTAATGCCATATTTACCAACCATTTCCAATATTTACAGGCACACCTTGAGCTTGGGTTATTCTTGACGTTGGGTTGTTCAACACATGGATGGTCTTTGCAAGTCGGGGATGGAGCCAGCTGTGCAGGTCGACCACTGTTTGTATCTCAGCTGCAGTGGTGCTGTTCCTGCCCCAAGCCTACAATGTGAGGCCCCCCAATTATAAGTTGGTTTATAAGCCCCAGTAACTATAGTTATAAGTACCATAAACCATAGTTATTGGAGTTATAAACCAACTTAGCTATCTTGGGGGCCTCACATTGTAGTAGTTCAATAAGCCTAATGGTTCTACAAGTTGGATAACTATAGAGTAGGATTCATACATTGATTAAGCCGATTATGTTTCATAACTAGACTGCATATGATTCCGCTGGAGTTTGCCAATTAAGATATGAGATATCACAGGACAGAGGTTTTCCTGGCCCCCTGGCAGCAAGGCAGTTCAGGGAGGCTCCAGTGCCATTTGGGAATGGGTTAAAATGTGACCGACCAGCTTGTCTGACTTGTTTGGGCCCTTTGATTCCCTAGTAAAAATTTGGGCACCGATTTTTGGTGTCTTTTCCTGAAGCACACGGAGCAAAGACGAATCTGTGAAGTTCAGGATCTTCACAATGAGCATCAATTGAGCGGCATAGATGTTTGGGATATTTTTTTTTTGAGGTCAAAACCACCAGTCACTACGCTGCAGCGTGTCCGACTGTTGAATCCCCTTCTCGCATTTTTTTGATGTGGCCGAGATGAGCACTTGGAGAGGAAATCGCAAAGGTTTCTGGTGGATGGCGTCTCTAGACCCTCTCAGTGGATTACCACATGTACACCACATCTGTTCCATCAAATCACCACCTAAATCGCATTCAATCATCATTAAATCACAATTTATTCAGCTTAAATCCCATGAAATCCCGATATTTGTTGCTTCAACCCTCACGTTTCCGATTAAGCCATTGATGCAACTGAGGACACACTCTGGATGGCTGGGCTCTTCCTCAGTGTCGTCTCTGTGCTACCTCAGTTGTGGCACATCAATCAGACGGGTGGAGTGATCCAAGCGTGCACAGGACGGGGCGGACAGGTGCTCCCACACTCAGAAATCTGTTCAAAACCTCGCGTGGAAGATGGGTATGTTTGAACGGATTTCTTTTTCCCATCATATTCCCATCATATTCCACAAAAGTAATAATGGAAGAATCATCAGCAAGTGGATTTCTTGATGGGAATATGATGGGGATTTCTTAAGGTGACCCCATACCATCAAAAGATTGGTCATCAAATGATGAGGAGACTCCTCCCATGTGTTCTGGGGTAGCCCAACTTCAGAAACACCTACCATCTGGTTATTTAACATAGCCATGGAACATAACAATGTTTAATAGGTAAACCATCTATTTCTATGGGCCATCTATACCATGGCTATGTTAAATAACCAGAGGGTAGATATATTGGTTTTTCATCAAGAACAAGTGGGAATTGAACCCAGCCAGAAATGGGGATTTCACCAACACACGTGCCAGGTCAAACTGGTTAAACCTGATTGGACATGTACAAAAACCTCCACAGCAAGTGAAAGTCGCCAGCAAACAATGCGAATTGAAGCAGTTTATTCAATAATAAGGACTTCACCCACATTAGGTTTTAACTTAAACATGGTTTATCTGACAGAGATTTGGCGAACTGGAGGATCTATCAAGCCAGGATAAGGATGAGGATCTCATCAAGCATTGCATCGTTGTATCGACACATTTAACCACTATCGCTACATTTAAATGTGTACTTTAAAGTACATAGTCTGGTTGTAGTTTTAAGCCCCAAACTAGTTACTGTATGAATACTCAAAATCTGGTTTATCAATGTTGTCCATCATCTTCCCGAGTAGAACATGTACTAAATTGCAACAATCAGTCTCAACTTATTGCTTTGTCTCAACCAACATTGCAGTTGCTTCCACGTTTTCCACAGTGAAATGCGCGCCAATCCTCAGTAGTTGCTGCTTTCCAGGCAATAAAAAGAAATCGATCACGCACTCGAAGTGGAATGCGCCAGCAGCTTTTGTTTTCCTCTAGGGATCCTGGGGCCTGATGACCAAAGCTTCGGCCGCTGTCGACATGCGCACGGATTATCCGCACTTGAGCGCCGCAACTAGAGGAAGGATCGATGCTAATCATCAATGGATCAAGAGAGAAGCAAATTAAGCCAGGTGTGTACATGTTTCCACCGCACACCGTAGCTGAACAACAAAATGCGGCTCAAGCCGTCTGTCGTACATCACAAAATCTGACTGCTGAAAAAGGGAAGTGACAAACAACCCTCCCAACCAAACTGCATAGAAAGCTCAAAAACCTTCGATCATGGGTAGCCGTTGGTGCCATGGGCCACCAAGCATGGTGAGGAAAGCAATTTCGGGAAAGAAAGTTGCATGACCCTCCAGCGGAGTGACAGAGAAAATGTCACTAGCGGGGTGGGGGTCTGACCCCGAGAAATCAGGATCGGAACTATCATTCCAGGCAATAAAAAACATTAAAAAACTACTCCCTGCTAAAATTCATGAGAAATATCTAGAACTGGTTTTCATGGGAAATGGATGGAAATGGGAAATCCCCAAAGTAGATGGAGCTTTTTAACATTGGAAAATCATCGAACTAAATGGTGTTTTTTTTTTCCATCGCCATGTTTGATTCCAGGGATCCAGCGGCGGAAATCGAAAGCCAATTTCCAGTGAAGCCCTGTTTTTTCACAGCGACATCTAACAGGATCTCACATTATGTACCATCTGGTTATTTGTTACATAGCCATGGAATGCCATGGACAGATCAACCATTTTTAATAGGTAAACCATCTATTTCTATGGGCCATCTATACCATGGCTACGTTAAATAACCAGAGGTAACCTTAAATTTCTCCAAATTTACGACCCAGTACATCACAGTATCAAATGTCGGATCTGTCCAGCTGGACCCAGTCGTAGCTCAGAAGCTCAGGTAGACGCGAAAAGCAGAAAGAACGATAAGTTGGAATCACGAAACGAGAAGTTGGTTTAACACACTTTGAACATATGCAAACTATGTGGTTTCTGGTAAAATCTCTACATTTGGGTCAACCTAGCAACTGACTCCAACAAAAACTCATCTTCATCCGGCCAAGCTAACTGTATGAGCTACCGCAAAAAAAAACCGGCAATACTAAACATGCAAGGGTCGGACATTGGCTTGTGGATTCTTATGGAAGTTGTTAAAAACACGAGGTAAGCGATGGGACCTTTCCAAATTGGCGATACCCCCTTTCAAGGCAATGTAATTTTGAACATTGATTTCTGACGTCGTTTGTGAACCAGATTTGGGACCACAAAGGAACGTGCTCCTCAGAAAATGTTCTTCTTGATATCCATGAAGTGGTCCGCAGAGAAGGGAATCCGCAGAATCGGAAGCCAAGTCCCTGTAAACACGTTTCTTTCACTAGCTGCCTGCACATCTTTGCCTTGTATGTTTTCATTGACTCCCCACTTGAACTTTGCCTGAACAAAAAGGAAGCACGGCCTCCGCTCTGGAGCCAAGTAAATCATTCATTTTTCCTGCATGCAAGCGATACCCCCCAAGTTTGCCATATATTATTTTTGTGCAAACGTGCGGTAAGCGATGGGGCCTTTCCAAATTTGTGGATGTCCATTCCGTGAACCTAGGGATTTCAAGATTGCTCATATGGTCTCCCCTGTAGGAAGGGGGGCCAAGCAGTATAGTTAGTTAGCCATAATTCTCCACTTTTTTCCATGATTCTCCCACTATTGGCTATCCCTTATCCCAAAATACACGGGGATGGTGACGAGCTGGCGACAAAAACCACATGGCATTGGCGGCTGGGAGGACACTATATCGCCATGCTGGCCACGAGCCGTGCCCTGAGTGGCATCTTTATGTGGCACGCCCGCTTCGACATCACCTGTCTCCCATTGCTGGAGGGGCTCAACCACGTGCCTCGGTGGATGTGTCGTAAAAAGACAAGGACGCCCTGTTGATGGACCTTTGGATTTTGGAGAATTAAACTCTAATAGCGATGTCAACCATGTTTTTTTATTGATATGGCACAATATTGGTGTTTAAGTAGTTTTGGTTTTTAATAGGGATTTAAATTATGAACATATGGGGATATAAGTGGATATAACTCACAAATGATGACTGATTGATGATTACTTCTGGAGTTCTACAGTGCATGGGGAATTCTTACTGCAATCCATGAAATGGGAAAACCTGCCAATAAACAGAGGCAATAAAGGGTTTGGAACACAGTTTGCTGTGTATATTTTGTGGTTGGTGTATGGATCTTAAGTTATGGGATGATTGTATTGCGTTAGATGTTGATATATTCCAGTGATTTGAGGACAATCAGTGGGGCACATGATTATACACAATACACAATATATAATGTACATATGATTTAATGTATGTATATTATAATATATTATAAACAGTCTCATTAATATCGATACATATTATTATATTATAATATAGATAGTTGTTTCTTATGTAATATATTTATATAATGTTGTTTGCTAATTTCTTACGATCGTTTTATGAAATCACTTGAAAGGTTTGTGCCATCTTGGACCCGCAACAGTTCGTTTAAAAAAATATGGTTGTGTCTGAAAATGAGGTGTAGAGTACCCCAGACTCTAGTTGGATGATCCTATCTTCTTACGGGTCAAATCAATGGGGCTTTCCATGGGGGTACCTCAAAATGCATGGTTTATAATGGAAAATCATATTTAAATGATGTTGAATGATCAAATGATTTGGGGGTACCCCATTTTAGGAAACCCCCAAATCAAAACTATTCGGGTATTCTGGGGTACTGGAACCTAAGATGGTGGTGGACAATTACCCATTGTGAGAATACCAGAGGGTACCCGGGTACCCTCTGGTAATTTAACGTGGCTATTGAAAATCACAATTTTTAACGGGAAAATCAACTATAAATGGTCATTTTCAATAGCTATGTTAGTTTACCAGAGGGTAGCGGTTGATGAATGAAAACGGAGTGAGAACGGAGTTTGCATCTTCTCTGCGTGAGACATTTTTAATAATAATATTTGATTTTAAGAGGATTGTCCAGACTACTCCCTTCCAGCTAAAGTAATATGACATACCCAAGTTAGACTTTATGGTTCAATAATCATAATAATGTGGGTAAAAAATAATAATAAACCATCCCCCAAATCACAATTTTTATAGGTGGTACAAACCATTCCCAAATGGGTGGTTTATGGCATTGTTTTCCCCACATTAATCCATGCCCCGTTCATACCGTTAAAGACCACCAGTTTTTTTTGTCCCATATTTTTTACCATCCCCATCGAGGCAATTTGGGCCATTCTGTGTCTTGGCCAAGCGGCTAAGAAAAATGCGAGGATTTCAGCACCTTCCAACATGGCAAGGATTTCACACATGTCAAAAAAAAACACATTGGAAGATCATTTGCACGTAGAAAATCCATATGGAATATATCAGAATATATCACAGTATATCATATTATATCATAATATATATATATATATATATCATAATATATCATAATATATCATAATATATCATAATATATCATAATATATATCATAATATATCAGAATGTATATCATAATATACCATAATATATCATAATATATCAATTGCCTATATTCCGGAGATGTTTTCCTTTTCTCCCGGATTGCTGCGTCGGGTCGTGTCATCTGTGGATCAAGAGGGGTCGTCCTTTGAGTCCTTTTTCAGTCTTCGCACCTGGCAATCCACATCTATTGGAGATAGTGTATTATCGGGTGTAGCATACTATTCACAGATATTCACCTGGTTGGTGGTTTGGAACATTTTTTATTTTTCCATTCAGTTGGGAAGAATCATCATCCCAACTGACGAACTCATATTTTTCAAGATGGTTAAAACCACCAACCAGTCACTGTCCTGGAATGATGCTCATTCATGGCTGGGACCTTGGGGCTGAATCGAGCCCTGATTTGCGGCAGATGAGGTCCATGTAGTGTCCAGATTGTCATAGTCCGGGATGATTGCTACCATTAACTATTCGCACCTTTCATGTTTTTTTGACTCTTTCTAAATTTATTGTTGCGTTTGGCTTGTTCTCATGATTTTCATTCTTAGATGCTTAGTGGCTTGTGTAATCACTTCGATTCCGCCGACCACATCCGCTTTCGGGCGTGGGTATTTGGATTGATATCGTATTGATATCTCAGTAGGAGGTGAAACGCTCCTGGTCATGTCAGGTGACGATGTGTTTCTTTTTCACCATGGGAAATTGGTGACACCAAAGTCTTATCATGTTTTTTCATGGGTTCAACCTGTATAAATCCAAGTTTTGGATATGTTGGATTCGTTCCACCTCCTTTTCGATCTCTTCTTTCGCCTGAACTTCTCATTGACAACCTGAGCCTCGAAGATCTCGAAGCTCTCTCGGCTCAGGGGTGCTCACATGCTACACCTCCTACTGCTGATCGATTTTGGGTACTACTACGTCAAGGCATATGCGGCATATGACATGATGACACCATCCCAACGTGATGGAGATAGCGGAGATAGCAGAGATAGCTATGTTTTTTTTTGTTTTTTGAGATGGGCCTTACAGTTTTTGTTCTGTAGATTTGCACTCTAAGATTCTCGGGCATGTCATTTCTAGCATATTTGGAGTTTCAAGATATCATTGATTAATGATCATTGTTTGCTATTGTATGTTTGACCCTTTTGATCGGCCTTGAATGTCGGGTCCTCCTATGTCCTCCTTGCGCTTGAATGATTTTTTAGGGACCGTGGTCACAGACGTTGTCCCCACGAAGATCAATTTCCACATATTTCCACCATGTTTTATCGATGTTTCGTCACTTCCGCATGATCAACCACTGCACTTCAGAGCCAACAAACAACTCGGCTGCCAGTGGGGTGCAGGTGGTTAACAACAATCATCACCATATTTTCGATTCCCCATATCCCCAAGGATAGAGTCCCATGGTTTATCAAATCTTGCCCCAACAGTTGCCAGTCGGGTGAGTTCGCAGGCGGTGACGCAACAAGGATTGGACTTCAAGATCGAGCTGCCATGCGCCGACATGGTGTGACCATCGGGAGACCATGACGTCTGCCGAGAAAACTGGTGACGTGGTGGCAGCACTTCAATGTAGAGCCGCAGAGTTTCTGGAAGATGCGCTGATACTGCCTGTTCATGCATCAATATCATAGCTGATATATATATATATATACACATATATATATACCTAGGAACCCAAACGTCAATAATTGTTCAGTCATATGCCGTATTTATAGTAATTGCATATTTTTTAATAGTATAATGACTATATATATATACACGTAATACATGCTATAGATAAGATGTATCGCTGGTGATTTGTTTTTTGTGTGTGTTACATTCCTCGAGACGAGATGACCCAAAGTGAAGAATCATGTTCAGCTGATTTCAGAGATGGATCTTAGATAATGTTGTGAGGTTGTGTTTTGGCTTCCATCAAACCGCTTACAATGTTCACATTAATCAGAACTGGCATCATTGCTTTTGTAAGGTCTGAACCTGCCTATCACCAGCCTTAAAGAAAGCCTTTCTTGTTTCTCCCTTTGACGGAATCCCAAAGACCATCAAAGACCTACAAATTACCACACCAAGTAACATATGCAGACCCTGCAAAATAGGTCAGTAGGTGGGTGGAAGATTGTTTTCCACAAACACGACTATGTTCAGGGTCTATGTTAATTTACTGCAGGGTGATATTTGTTATGATCGTAGAGCAATGATCACATGGTAATATCAAGAACATGATATATAATGCAAAATTATACTATACGATCCTAAACCCATGATATATTACATACTGGGCCAAGATATAGTTCATGTGATTCTTGAGTAGTGGGGGCTGTGCCAGCCGTCAATCAACAAGTCTTGTTCCGCCATGAAATGCAACCCCAAATCCTGGACAAACATAGAACCCCCGTTTGGCTCAAGACTGCTTTTGCCGTTTTGGTGCAGGAGGGGGAGGGGTTGGTGCATGGCTGGTGCGCGGAAAAGGAAAATAGGGGCAAGGGTGGGTCGCAGGGGAAAATAGGGGCGAAGGTGGTGCGGAAGTGCGTTCTTGCGGGATGCAGTCAGGCACCAATTTTGGAGTTTTTGGCACCACTTTTGGACCTGTCGGGAAGCAGCTAAAATCATCCAAAAACGTGCCAAAACCCTGTTTTCTATGAATTTGGCTGCCTCCCGACATTGGTGCCCGACTGCGTCCCGAGTGGATCCCGATTGGATCCCGACTGGTTTTCCTCAAAAAAACATTTCCCGCGCTCCTATTTTCAAAATTTGAGCACCTATTTCTGATATTTTAACACCTTGCCGTGCACCACCCCCCATCACAAAACCCGCCGACCCCTCCCCCAGTTTTAAGCCAAACACGGGCCCAGCAAGTGATATGTCCTACCCACAAATACATACATACACATACATACACATACATACACATACATACATACATACATACATACACACACACATACATACATACATACATACATACATACATACATACACACACACATACATACATACATACATACATACATACATACATACATACATACATACATACAAAATACATAAATACATCAATACACCAATACATATATACATAAATACATAAATACATAAATACATATAAATTATAAATATATATATATATATATGTATATATATATATATGTAAATGTATTTACATATGTGTGTATATATATATGTAAATGTATTTACATATGTGTATATATATATGTAAATGTATTTACATATATATATGTATGTATATATATATGTATATATATATATTTATATTTATATATGTATATATATATATATATGTACACACATATATATATGTACATATGCATGTGCTGATTATGTAATTTGTGGTATGCGGCGTGTCTTGATGCTTTAGATGTCCTGTAATATGATTTATTATACTATAATTTGAATTGTTTTGATAAAATGCAATTTATTGTAAACTCACAACATGTAGATGATATAATATAATATAATATCATATCATATTATATCAAATCACACAATACATGTGCTCTATATATATATATATAATATACATGTCTAAATTGTCAAGATGGGTTTCCAAGCTCAGACATGCTCCTTAAGGCGCAAGTCTAAATCTCCGAGTCGGACGCATTCACGGCGTTGAGAAAAAAGTATTTCGCAGCGGCCGGGCTTTTCCAGTTGGGGATGGATCGCCAAGTTGACGCACAGAATTTTCATGTGGTGAAGTGAGTGAACTGCAGGGTGTATCCGAGAATTTGAAGTCGTTCATGAGTAATTGAAAGCAAGAGACATAACTGGGGGGACTCACCTTGTGTGACATTCATTCAGTAGATTTTGAAGGGATGAACCATCTATTCTGGTGTGAAAACTAGATGCTGACACGTCCCCAGTTTTCGGCCCACTTTGTAATGTTTGGATAGGTAGTGATGGATACAACTGGAGGCTTATGATTATGAATGCAGCCCAAAGTCCAAAGTCATTCCCAACAGCAGCTGTGGGGTGTCGATCTCTGCGTTGGCGAAGCAGTTGAATGGGAATCACAGGGGAAAGCCACGTCGACATGTGCGACCATCTTCGCGATTCCCTAAATAAAATTCATACAGAAGCTGAATCCAGCAGGCAGGGTTCCTGTTTTTTTTAGTTACTTACTGGTGTTTAGCAGGGAATGAGGGAATGACCCATAATCACTAGTAATAATCATCCCAGCAACCCCCCATTCCCATCCATTCCCTACTAAGCACAAGTAAGGTTACGGTTAGGTCTGGAAAAACAGAAACATCGACTGTATCTTTATGGTTCTATCACGGTTTTTTGGACTCTGCCCCAGGCGCGTAGTGATGATTATCCAAGAATGATGGTGGTTACAATCCCAGTGATAGGAATGCAAGGTGATTATGGAAGGTGGTGCCCATAATTACTTGGCTAAGTTGGTTTACAACTAGGTGAATTCTATGGTTTATGGATGTTTATGGTAGATATTCTATAGATAATGATTGATCATTGGGTCTATGAGAGTCATGATGATGATGATGATGATGACGAGCAGAAGGACAGTGAACATGAGGATGTGGATAAGACTAAGGATGAGGAAGTTTGTACCATGATTCATTGGAAGTTTGTTGTGGCCATTCCGTTGCCATTTCGTATCAGCCATTATCCAGCTGACTCTGCCAATTTGTGTCCAATAGTTCCTGGTTGCTGGATTCAGACACAGTTTGAGGAGGAAGATGACACCTTTTTTTTCCATGTGTTGGGACATGTGTGTATGTGTGGTGCATTGATTGTCAATATCAATATCCTTAGTCCTTGAAGGAATTGTTGTTGTTTTTGTTGTTTTTCTCCAGGGTATCGCATATGATTGTGTCATGAATTGTGTATCCGACATGTTTCACATGTAATCATTCACCTATGACTATGACGTAAGATCCACTGACTACCGGCCAGCAATTCTTCTGTACTGTTGTGACCCGCTGATTGTTTCAATGGTGTGAACTCGGCGCCGAGGCCGATAGCAAAACCTAGCCACACTCCCAACTGTGATCAGCAAGACTGCCAACTTGTTTTGAAACTTTACAAAACAAGTACATTCCGTTTCATCCAATCCTCCGGGTGTCTTGCCTCACCCAAAAGATCTAGCATGTCTTGCCAGCTTTTACAAGTTTACTCGAAGAAACCCAGCATGTTTCTGATTCTTCACAAGTTATGTCCATCCAAAACTATCCAAAAACCTATCCGAAACTACCCACAACCTCCACAGAGTTCCCCTTTTTTTCGACAAAGCATCATCGCCTTGCCATGGACGCCGCGCCTTCCAAGCGTCCGGTGGCGGACCCGGAGGGCCCCATCCTGGAGCTCTTGCGGGTGCCAGGGCGAACTCATCGGTGAACATTGGGTCATTTTCGGACTGCTATCATCTGCGAAGTCCAAAAATTTGACCCCCATCAACACTGCAAGGTGGTGCCCCGTAGTTAGCTAAATTGGTTTATAACTCCCATAACTATGGTTTATGGCAGATATAACTATAGTTAATGGGGTTTATAAACCAACAAACATCACTGGGGGGCACCATCCTGTGGCGATGGTTTGGAAAAACCACAAAAATATCACTCCAACAGAACTGTTCTTCAATATGATATTACGGGAGGTTTCCTGAGATCTTTGGGTCGCCCAAATCATCCAGTCGTCATGGATGACCGTGAATTTTCGTGAAACTATAGATATGGGATGATATGGAGGTTTCTTGAGTCATAGATCCCCAAGTCGCCATAGTTGTTTCAATACAAAGTCATGGTGATCCATATGACTTAGGATTTAGGACACCTCCAAATAATCACTATCCACTTGTTGGAGGAAAATGAATGTGTTCTATTCAAAATAGCACAGCATAAATGAAGATAACAATGTAAGATTATTGATAAGATAACAACGTAAGTGATGACTACGTGTCGTTTGTTTTAATGAATCTAAGTGGAGAACATGGTGGATAACGAGAATAAAACAAACGCATCGAAAGATCTAAGCGGGTTTCAAATCTTCGAAGTGGAGGAAACCTGCAGCAAATGGTTACAACAAACCATGGAAATCCATGTTCCCCTTCATGATCTTCATAGAAATGGTGGATTTTTATGGATTTCCATATTGTAAACGGTTCCTGGAGGGTTGGGTGGAATAGATGATTTGCAAGCCCAGTTGTTGTTGGGTGATAGAGTCTCTGGATTTTCCAGGAATGATGGCTAGTAGAGAGGACCATGTGTGTATCATTGGGTAATGTTTTTTTGTTTTTTTTTAATACGCAGAAAATGGCGATGTACATGCAGATATGCCAACATGATGACTGACAAAAAACATCTGCAACTGAGATATATCATATCAGGGGTTCCACAACAACTAGGACACCTTTTGGCAACTTCTGGAACAGCCAAAACGAGGCGCTGGAGTGGCTAGATCCCTTTGGTTGATTGTTGGCCTCGTTTCTGAGGTCTACAAAATTCAGAACGCTCCCAGCTACTATGACAGCAACTTGACCTTGGGCAACACATCTTTGCGGGTTCAACATGGTTCATCGGTTCATGGTTAAACCATGTTGAATTTCGTTTTTTCATGCTAAAAGAGCCTCATTTCTGATGGTTAAATCAACATGTTCCATGGTTAAATGAGCTAAATCCTCATGTTCGATGTTTTTTTCCATGGGATTTAGCTCACTGAGCTCATTTTCTGATGGTTAAATCACCATTTTTCCCATGGGTTTCCACCTGGCCATTCTTTGATTTCGATGTGATCACCGCTGTGGAACCCAGGTCGCATCCGAGGCAAGGTCCAGCGCTTGGACAAGCCGCGCATCGCGCCGCACCTCTCGCAGAGATCCAAAGCGGGTGCTCCGAGGCCGCCCAAAGAGGTGCAGATTGGGTCGACTGGATGGCTGAATCATGTTGAATCCTTTATATAATAGGTTGATATAAACATGTTTGTATCATAGAATAACATTATCTAATCTGTTGTTATATATATATTATATATCATAGAATATCTATGAACCAGCTCACATGTTTGTTTTGGAAGGGATGTTTATAACATGGGAAAGCATTAAGAAAGATGAGGCTTAGCATGGTTTCACCATGAAAAATGGTGGTTGGAATATGTTGTAATATGTTGTAATATGTTGTATTAGTTTTTGGAAACATTGACATGTCATGTGAGGATGACAAACCTAATCCCATAGTCACCATTCCTAGCCAATCATATATGATTGAGGATTTTAATCAAAATATGGCTGGAACTTCCAGATGTTCAATCAGATTTTCACTGTTGTTTCACTTCCAATTTGTACAATAAGACTAATCCACAATACAAGCAAATATACCTATAAGTATTTTGGTTTCAACGTAGGTATATATTATATATATAATACTATGAATATATTATGATAATATCAGGGGAACATTCTCAGCTAGTATGTACAAGAATGGATCGGACATGGAATCATGATGGGGGTTCCAACCACGTGGGGATCAAGCAGGCCAAATGAAATGGGTGCAGCCGCATTATATCTTGTGAGGACCATGGTCTGAATCCCACAATGACTAGTGTGACAACCTAAGTTACAGTACAACAGTACAACATGTCTAAAATCTATAGGGTCAAACTTCTGGTTTGACAATTGACCCATTCTGCGTTACATAAGTGTCCTACCGTATCCCTGTTTCAATCTCCCTTGCTTGTGGGTTTCAACTGTGCGAGGCTCGAAAGGGGAAGGAAGTCTGGAACTTCAAAGATGAGGACTTTGAACCTCTGAGACATCTCTGGCGAGAGCAACGAAACGGCACAGAAAGAAACAACGCAGGGGTCAACCTTTCCATCGCCACATTCCAGACGGTATGCGGAATGTTCCAGTTTCGTTTGCGTAGCAACTGGGTATGGCCCAGTACATCATGCCAAGTTGTGGTTTGTAAGTTATAGATGTACTCCAGTTTCTATCAGTTTCAAAGAATCGATGTTTATGGTATCATCGGTATCATCCAATATGAGTTGACATCTCAGAGTGACATCTGATTCCTTGTCTTTCCTTTTTATTTTATCGATCGTTCATTTTAACGCAAGTGATCCACATCCAACCAGAGATGGATCCAGGGCGACCCATGAAAAAACCCACGGCACTCAAGGTACATCCAAGACCTCAAGATAGACATCGAGGACTGGGCTCCAAAAAAAGCTCACGGTGACCTAGGGTGACCTCGAACCCGCAACTGGCTTGGCGATGAGAAATATCTTCGTTCTCTACAGATGATGTATCAGTGCTGTTCTTTGTAGATGTTGAGATATTTTTAGATACTTCGAAGCGGCAGATGTCCGAGTGCGAGAATCAACTTAGGACTGTCATGTTGAAGAACAGGAGACTCAGGAGACCAGATGAAGCCGTTTGACAAGAGTTTGTCAAGCAATCAATCGACCTGTCGGGGGGGGCTGGCTTGCTCCCTGGGCGGCACCTCAGCTGCCCGTGGTCCTCCTCCTCCTCGTGCGGGACTCCCACTTCTACATGAGCATTGCAGTGGAGGGACCGCCTAGTGAGTGAGCCTGCCTATAGGGGCCATGTGCTTCCGCTTCGCCTTCCGCTGGGCCCTCTGTCTGGTAGCGATTGGCTACCGCACCCCAGTCATTGCCACTGCTTGGAGCTCTCCTGATGGACCTGCTCCCTGCACTCACGCTGGCCGGGTGGGCCGCATCGGACGCCGAGAGCGGAGGCGCTTGACCGCGTACCTCCACACCTCGTGGGCAAGCCCTTCTCCACCAAGGCACAGTGGGGTTCAGGTGTCCTTCCCATGCCGGGCTCCCCGACGATTGCCTGAGCGGCAGCGCCAGACGTGGGGGCAACACCCGAACCGCAGGCCTCGGTGGAGTGGCTGGCCATTACGTGGGCGCCGAATTGGTGAAGCCACGCACCCGGGACCACCCGCACCGGGCACCCCCGTCGGTGGTGAGAGGGCAAGCCTTCGACGGCGTGACCGCTCCCTGTCGCCGGATGCCATGGTGGTGGACGGGGTTGGCCCCACGGCTCGCCTTTACTGCCCTGTGCCTGGCTGCCCTAGCTCAGATACGACAAGGGCAACGGGCTGGACAAGCAAACAGACCTTGATCGCCCACGTTGACTCCCACTTGGCTGGCACGTTGCAAGGGCAAGTGCCACAACAATGGCTCACTGATCACCACCGGCAACGCTGTGCGGTCTGTGGCCTCAGCGTCTCTGTCCGGTATGGCGTGCACCCTACATGCCAGCCATCCGCCCGAGCTGCCTTGGGAGGGGCCGGCGCAGGCCGTGCGGCCGATGCTCACAACTTGCCTTCTGCCCATGAATTGCAGTTGGCGCGAGGGCGTACCCTACGCCACATCCCTGCTGCTGCCCGCTTCCTGTGGGGGCAGACACTGAGCCGAGCCGTCGCAGCCGCAGCCCACCACAATGATGCACGGGCTTGGACGGAACTGCTGATGCTCCCCCAATGTGTCCTAGCAGCGCCGCCTCGTGCTGGCAGACGCCACAAACGGGCAGCGGCTGCCTACACACTTGACCGGCTGCGGCGCTGGTGCGAAGGCGAGCGCCGCGGCCTCTGGGATGATGCTTGCCGCCGTTCGGGTGGGCCGAAGAGACAGCTGAGTGAGAACAAGAGACGCGAGCTAGCCATTGACTTGGCCAGGGAGGGGTTCGACCGAAAAGCTTGCAATGCCCTTCTCCACAATGGCCTTTGCCCTGAAACCGCAGACACAGTGGCTGCCCTTCGTGCCCTCCACCCTGCTCAACCGCAACCTGCAGTGGACCTCGCTTCCCTCCCGCTGGCCGACGAAATCTCGGAAGATGTGGTGGCTCGTGCATTTCGCAGCTTCCCGGCCGACACTGCCCCTGGCCCCTCCGGCCTCCGCATCCAGCACCTGCGCGAAGCAGGCGCGCCCGGCTCCACGCACAGCCTGGTGGTCCACTTAGCCCGCCTGGTGAACTTGATGGCGCAGGGCCAGGCCTGCCCCTTGATCGCGCCCGTGCTAGCCGGTGCGGGGCTGGTTGCGGTTCCCAAACCGAATGGCGGTGTGCGACCTATAGCTGTGGGTGAAATCCTCCGGCGACTGACAGGCAAGTGTCTTATGCAGCTGGTGCAAGAGGAAGCCCGCCGGACGTTCTGGCCCACACAGCTGGGAGTTGGCATAAAGTCAGGAGCGGAGACTGGGATCCACACGGTGCGGGCCTGGACCAAGCGACACGAAGGGGCCCACAACAAAGTTCTCCTCAAACTCGATTTTTCCAATGCGTTCAACCGCATCTCTCGATGTCAGGTTTTGGAGAGTGCAGTGATGCACTTCCCCGGGTTGGCGCGCTGGGTGACCTGGTGTTACCAACAGCCCTCCGCCCTTCGCTTCGGTGACACCATGATCCCTTCTGCTGGCGGAGTGCAACAAGGAGACCCCCTGGGACCGTTGCTGTTTGCAACGGCTATCCACCAACTCACCCAAGACCTCCGGGCAGGGCCACTGGACCTAGCCCTCTTCTACCTTGATGACGGGATCATTGCAGGTGATGTTGCCTCTGTTGGCGCTGCACTGTCCCACATCCAAACCCGCGGTGTTGAGTTGGGCTTGGCTTTGAATGCCGCCAAATGTGAAGTTGTAGCTGTTGGCCCGCTCCAACACGCTGACTTAGCCCCACACCTCCCGCCACAGTTCCTCTCAGCCCCTGATGGTTCTTCCCGGCTCAAACGGAACTTTGAGTTCCTGGGCGGGGCGATTGGCGACGATGCTTTTGTGGAGGCCCACACCAGAGCGCGCGTGGAAGCAGTTGGCCCTTTGCTCGACGCCCTTGCTGAGCTCGGGGATGCCCAAGTTGGCTTACGCCTTCTGCGTTCCTGTGCTGGCTACGGCCGCCTTGTGCACAGCATGCGGTGCAACCCGCCGCACAGCCAACGAGCAGCTCTCCAGCTCTTCGATGGGAAGGTCCAAGCTGCCTTCTCCAGCATCACAGGCCTCCATCTTACAGCCACCCAGCGGGCCCAAGTTGGCCGTGGCCTTGGCTTTGCAGGTGTTGGAGTCCGCTGCAGCTCGCTGGACGCCCCAGCGGCTTTCCTAGCTTCGGTGGGAAGCTGTGCAGTTGCCTGCGAAGAAGCTGACCCCGCCTACGTGGCTGCAGCTGTGGTTTTGGACCCTGCCTGCACCCAGGCCACTACAGCTTTAAATGCCCAACTGCAGCACCCCCTCGCGCCGGGGGCTGCTCTGAGTTTGAAGCAGAAGGCCCTTACCCGCCTGCTTGATGAGGCTTCCCGGCAGGCTCAGTTGGCTGCTTCCTCCACCACGAGACAGGCTTTGCTCCGCTCTGAAGCTGAACCTGGTGCTCGTGCTTTTCTGGTGGCCAAACCAGGCGGTGTCACACGGATGGAAACTGCGCTTTTTGTAACAGAACTGCGACACCGCTTGGGTATACCGGAGGCATCTGAAGATTGTTGGTGCCCACAGTGCCATGGCATCTTGGATGCACATTCCTTACATGCCAGCACTTGCGTGGCCGGTGGGGAAAAGACACTCCGACACACAGCTGTGCGGGACGCCCTTTGCAAGTGGGCTGAGCGGGCAGGGCTACAGCCGGAAAAAGAACGCCCAGGCCTACTCCTACCACAACGACCCGAAGATGTCGGCACTCAAAACCGCCGACCAGCTGACATTTTTTTGCCTAGCCTCCACGGCTCCCCTGCTGCGCTTGATTTGGCCATCACGGCCCCACAGCGGCAGGATGTTGTGGTGCAGGGAGCAACGTCGGCTCTGGCAGCTGCTTCAGCCTATGCAGCTTCAAAGGCAGCTTACCTGAATACTGCCCAACTTTGCAGCCAGCAAGGGGTGAACTTTGTCCCCCTAGTGGCTGAATCTACTGGTGCATGGGACCGAGTGGCGGGGCAACTCCTCTTGCAGATCGCTTGCAGTGCCGCGGCCCGGACAGGTGATGATTCAGCTGCTTTGCACAGCGACCTGCTTCAGGAGTTGTCTGTGCTCATCCGCAGCCATCGGGCCCGTGCGGTCCTTCGCCGCCGTGCTGAGCTAGCGGGCTGAACACTGTTGCTCGACAGCTGATATGACGTTGGAACGGGCCCTCCTCTCCGTTGATTTCACCGAGCCTATAGTCGTTGCCCTACTGAGAGTGCCAGATGCTCCGGTTATTTTGTTTGAGGGCTGCCGCCCCTGTTTTCGACAGCGGGCTGTTTGCTCTTCTCTCTCCCGAGGGAACAGCATGCAGTTCCTCCTTTTTGCTCCTCTTGCGAGTCCCGCTGACTCTGCCAACCTGGGGTTGTCCAAGACACCTGACTATTTGTTCTTTATTCTGGTTATTGCACAGGTCAATAACCATGCTCTTTTTCCTTTGTTGGTGACGCTTCGGCATCCTGTTTGATTTTGAAGCCAGAAAGAATAGCAGCTATACGGCTATACCACTGATTTCAATGGTCCCAGCTGTGTTCATTTGAAGATCCTGACTCTGACTGATTGAACCCCCCCTGGGATGATCTGAGCGGAGGATCCTGAGGATCCATGGTTTCTAAGCCACTTCCGCCATGAATCCTCCAGGTGGGTTGGTCTGGCCATCATGGTACCCCAAAATGAGCCCATACTTCAAACTTACCCTATGTTTTTCTATGGTTTTTCTATGGTTTTTTCTCATGTTCTCCATGGTTCCTCGCAGAATTCCCATATGAACCATGGCTAAATTATGGCACATTTTTCGTGTTTGTTGGGAGATGGCGCCAGTGCAAACACCAGGACCCTGGCATGGGCACGGCGGGCACGGCGGGCACGGCTGGTAGCGAGTCCCTCTTCGCGTCCATCGATTTGCACGGCGCCTGCGTCGAAGTGGTCGCTGCCAAGCAACCGAACCTCCTCCGTGACTGGGACCGCAGGAGGTTTTTGGTGCTTGGAGGATCATCCCACTGTGGTGTCCAGTTCGCTAGGAGGGTTTATAAGTTATAAGTCCAATAGTTAGGACTTATATATAGTATAAGTATTGTATATATATTATATATATATAGTCTAGTGAATTGGCTTATTAACCAATTTCTAACTTGGGGCACCACAGTGCTTAGTACAGGATTGTTCCAATCCGTCATGGGTATCGCGGGCGGGGTTATCCGCTATGGAAGCCACGGCCCATACGTAGAAAACATGATCTACCAATTGACATGTTCAAACATTGTGTTGTTTCATAGCAAACCGTTGGACTACCAGAGGGTAACCACCAATATGATAGTGATTTATTCACCAAATATATTCAAAGACAAACGCTGTGGGGATGTAGTTGAAAAGTGATGGTCGGTGACGGTGATGAAACAATAGGTTATAAAGCCACCTTGCTTTTTGAATTATTGGGACGATCATAACCCAGAATCATATACACATTTATCCATTCATATGTTCAATCCAATAAATGTTTTTTTGTCTCGTTTGCAAACAAATTCTCGGGGGAATGTCTCCATGATGAAGCATCACAAAGCAACAATTTCCCCCAATGTTGAACAACCAAAAATGTGTCTTTACACTCGGCTTCGCCCTGTTAGGTGTTCCATGTTTAGTTGTTGATGAGGGTGCCTTCAAGGATTTGTGAATGTCCAGATCTAGTTCCCAAACAACCCCCCTGCACTACATTTGGTTAATTTCCTATTTGTTGCACTGGAATGCGCTGGATAGGTTTGCATTTAAACATAACCCTTATATATATTTATACATAACACAAGTATTCTTGCATATCATACCTTGTGTGAGGAATCGTTTTTGTATCACATGTTCGCTAAACCCCATCATGCTCGCTAAACCCCATTTCCGGCAACTTACTCTTAGGTTCGATTAAGTGAAACATGTTGGTTGGTTGGTTGGTTGGTTGGTTGGTTAATACACCGAAACACATGCTGCGCAAATGACTGGCCATGTTGGCTTTCAACAACCAATATAAACCACTAGAGGCAACCGTGCGCTGCTGTTCAGTTGAGGTTTGAAGGGGACGGTCATCGAAGAGACACAAAGGACAGCCATGACATGCCATGGGAATCTGATTTTAAGGATGATGATGATGATGAGCTTCGATGTCAGCTTTTGGGATCTGCGAACAGTGATGTCATCCCCGGTCATCCCAGTTCGCTCAGCATCCTAACGCATCAAACTCCTGGGAAAATCATCTCAGGTCAGCAACACCGCTAGGACTTTGAGGATCATCAACTCTCAAAACGAGGTCAAGATGATCCCTAAGGATGCCTGTGTTTTCGAGGTGGGACTGTCACAGCCCGAGCAACCACCACATCACGGCTTGATGGCTGTGCGTGTTGGCCTCCATTTTATCATGTTGCTGAAGCCAAATTATGCAAATTAAATGGTTAAATCATATTTAAATCATGTTAAATCCTCATTTTTCCTGCTTAATTCCCTGTATTTGGAGGGTTAATTCTTCATTCTTCATGGTGAAATCTCCATTTTCCACCGGCAAATCCCAGTTTCCCCATCTTTCCCCATCTTTCCCCATCTTTCCCCATCTTTCCCCATCCCATTTTTGGTTCAGCCAGGTGGAGCTGGTTCCCTCGGGCCGGCTGCGTTTCCTGGGCCCCTGCCATGGGCGACCCGGGCTGCCATCCCGCGGCTGGCGGCTGTAAGCTTGGAGCTTGGACTTGCAAAGCGTCGATGGTTTTTTTGTTCACCCAAAAGATAGAGGTTATACTATGGATCTATAATATATCTATAATCTATATGGGAGTTTTATGGAGTCTTCCATAAAATGGGGGTATCCTAAAACAGATGTTTTAGAATGGACCATTCTAATGGCGAAAGCCATCCGAAGTCCCCTTTTGAGGTTCCCGTTTTGTCACGAAGGATCCCCAGTCGTCAGCCATGACCGGATGAGGACTGGGGGTACCCCCATGACAAAACGGAAACCTCTATATTGCCCTGGGCCGTTTACATAGATGTGCACAATCACCAATTTTTGATAGGACATTCATCCATAAATGGGCCGTGGCTACCACATCTATGTCTATGTGAGGTTACGGTAATAGAGAATTCCAAGCGAAATTCATAAAAATAAATAGTGCTGAAATTACTTTTAAATATTGTTTCCCGGGACTCATTATGGAACAGATGAAGTCCGTGTGTTTCTTAGCCGCGAAATGTGGGGATTTCACCTGTGACCTCATTTCGGTGCTGACCAGTTTTCCGAGGTCAGGGGGGTTACCCCAGTCATCCAGTCGTCATGAGCACTGAAACATGGAAACAACAATGAAACAGCCATGGTGACGACTGGAGATCCCCTTATGTTATCTTATTTTAAGAACTCCCCCCATGTACAGCCAGATGATTCGATGATCTTAGATGTGTTTCTTGAAGGGTATAGGAGTGCAGATGTGGAAAACCATGTGGATGCCACAGCGGCCGACTGTTTCATTCCACAAAAGGTCCATGTCGCTGACACATGCTGACACAAAATGATTTCGGCGATGAAAACCTCTGATGTTTTTTTTCTGATTGGTGGTGACTGGAACATGGCAACATGGCTGTTATTTTTCCATTTCATATATGGGATATATATAATCCTTCCCAAGTGACGAACTCCATCATTTTTCAGAGGGCTAGGTATACCACCAACCAGATTATTATTAATTAACCATCATTAACCATATAATAACCATACATTAACCATTATTATCAGTATATATTAACCATTATTATGGCAGGTATACCACCAACCAGGCAACCAGGCCACGGTGATACCAACTGAAGCAAAAAACAGCCGATTCCAAGGATCCGCCGTCCCACGGCGGGGCCGCCTTTGCGGAGGAAAAAAAAATAGGGGGTTCGGATTCCGTAACGGATGCGGTGGAATGTCCACATAAAAATCTCGAATGAGTACTTGGTGGCTCATCCCACTTAGTAAGTGGGTTATAACCCCAGTTATAAGTGGATTAACCCTGCTTATCCCATTTATAACTGGGGTTATAACCCACTTACTAAGTGGGATGAGCCACCAAGTAAGTACTTTAGTAGACTTGGGTATACAGTATACTCAGTATACGCAGTATACTGTTTTTTTTGCAAACATGATTGATATGTGCGAAGCAGTTCAACCAAAAATGTGGCAAGATCAGCCATTGACTCTTATCCAAAGAGCAGTTGAAAAACCAATTTATGGTATTCTGTTGGACCCTGATGATGTTTTCACTTGGTCAAATGAACCTGAACCGAAGTATCATTCCCCTGAATATACCAGATAACTTAGAACAAAACTACCACCAAACCCTCATATTTAATATTGATTGTTTTTGATGTAATTGATAGATGTTGCATGGAATGTTGGTGTTTTTCATTGCTCACGGGCGGGTATTTCCTTCATCATTCTGGCGATTTTCTGGCAGTTTTTCTGTCATCAACTTCCAGCCACTTGGAAGTGTTTCCAAGTCACTAAACAGTTTATACCAATTAAAATATATACATTAATATATATATATATATATACATGTGTTTATATGTTATATCACCCATATAATAATATATCACTGGATGATAGTGTGGTTCGCGACGCCACTGTTACCCTAGTCGTCCCGCAGGTATCGCACGGCTGCAGTGCAGAAGCAATTGGAAGCCCTGCATGGCTCGCGAGCGCAGGCAAGGGATGACCGCAAGGGATGACCTTGGAAACAATCAACATGAAACTCCCCAAGTCTTGTTCGTTTTCTGACATGGTATGTTGCTGTTGTATCATGTCAAATCCTTTATATTTTTGACACATATATATATATATATATATTATCCTTTTTGACGGTGTTGTTTTTTTTTTCAATATGTTTTTCCCCGTGTCTTATTCCCATGCGTTTACACCAAGAGTTTGTTGGTGATCTTTAGTACAGCAACCCATCCAATGATTTTTTTTGGATCTTTCTTCATACCACTGGGATCCAATCCTAGTCTAATGGTGCCTCTTAAATACGATCCACCCATCGGATGCGCATCCTAGTTGGGATTGTTCTACAAGGTAGGTGCCACCCCACTTATAAGGTGTTATAAGTTGGTTTATGAACCTCATTAATTGACATGAATTAACTATATATCTACCACAAGACAGTTAACCTAGTTTTGGAATGTTTTGGAAACCAACTTAGCAAAGGGAATGGGGCACCACCTCGTAGAAATTATTGTGAGCTTTCCTATTTAGGGGATTGTTTCTCTGATCATGAGTTATGTTCATCACTTTTTGAAGATGCTGGGATCAGAGATAGGACTTGATAGAACCCAGGATGATCGTTGAAGTCAGCCTCTAGTGGGATATCTTGGAATATAGCAGTAAGTTTGATAATTTCTATAGATATCCCAATCTACCTGCTGATTGATGGGGATTGCCACCCCAAAAAAGATCGAACTGCGTCAAATTCCCAATAGCGGTACCTGGTCTGCATCATTTTGGGGGGTTATCGGTTCTCAAAAGGACTAATTCCATAGTAACTCCCAAAAAAATACCCTATCACTAAGTGAGATAATAGTATGATAATAGTAATAGTAAGTAAAAGTAATAGTTACCCTATCCTTACTTGGTGGCTCATCCCACTTCGTAAGTGGGTTATAACCCCAATTATAAGTGGATTAACCCTACAAAAATCCCATTTATAACTGGGGTGAACTAACCCACTTACGAGCCGTGGGATGAGCCACCAAGTAGTAACCCTATCATATAATTGTAATCCCACAACTGAATTCTACCACTACATTCTTCGGAGTCCTGGGTTCCAGGACGCCGCCAGCTACTACCAGGGTCTCGTCACAGCTTCCTCGGAACGAACGGATGAGGCGGCCAAGAAGGACGGCGGATGCCTAGACCCGCTGTTGGGGTAGCCGTTGAGCAATTGGGGTAGCCATTACCCTCTGGTAAACTAACATAGCTATGGACAATCACCATTAAATCAGCTATAAATGGACCATTTTCACTAGCTATGTTAGTCATTACCAGAGGGTATAACTTGGGAAACACGAACTAGATTGCTTGGATTTGCTGGTGGTTTTGAGCTTCCCAATGGGAAATCCACTACTGGGTCAGTTTTTTTCGGGAATATGTTTTATTGTTTGGGGTTCCTTAAAGCAAATCTAAGTGAATCAAAGTTGGATTGTATACCTAGACCCTCCAAGTACCTAGAAAAATGGGTAACACACCCATTCTGACTCGGGACTGTGTAGCCTTTTTTAATGGCTACTTTGAAGGTAGGTAAGATTAGGGGATGGGAATAAATGGAATAATCCATCCATATACCATCCATTTAGTCATCGGGTATATAGCAATTGGGCCTGGGGCCAGTGAACATTGGGCCATTGGGGCCTCACTCAGTCACCAAAATTCATCCCACTGGATATGGATCTGACTTTAAAGCTCTGTCATCGGGATGATCCATTTTTTTCTATCGCTGACGTGTCGGTCCGGCACTTCCACCAGTATCATCCATCCAGGACCGCTACCAACTGGAGAAGGACGCGCCGGAAGGAAAGGGTGGAAATGGTGCGGTGCCGCAGCTCGTGAACGCTAAGTTGGCTGACATGACTCCAATTGAGTTGGGTTTATGATGCCTATGAACTAGTTCATGGGCTTATGAAAACAAGATTCTTAAGTGGAAAAGCACCACCTTGTACGATATCATTCTGATATATCCTCCGGTGTCATCAAGCATGGCTTGCATGGCTTGCTGGGGAATCCCGGCACTAAATAAGGCCATACGCTTGTAATGGTACAGATATGGAACTAAATTTAAATGGTGGATTGTCCATTGACATGTTTGATCACCACAGGGATGGATAATATAATGGTAACATGTGCGATAATGATATCAGTATGATGAATACAACATAATACAACTATATCCGCCTCAATAGGTACGCGGACTATTCCAATCAACTTTATATGTGTTGGCCCTTGACGGAGATCATTCTTAATATAATGGATGTAATGGATGTGATACCGGTCGATATAATTCTGCACAACCAATTAAATGGATTTGATTCTGGTCAAATTAGAACGGCTGTGTGACTGTCATGACATAAGTCATGATTAGGATTAGGGTAACTATCCAATTTGAATGATCCAGTATCATGTCCTTAGAATATAATAAGGACAACCCTGATTTGTTCATGGCATTATATAAATTTAACACATAGTTTTGTCCGCTACTCATATATTTAAGCTTGAAGCTTTGACGGAAACTGAAGCTTAACATATTGCAGATGGTACTCTATCTACCAAGAATGATGGTGGGTTCATGGTGATATGGTGCTACAGCAACCGATTTGCTCACCTGAAACTGGGAAGATGACAACATGTTTTGGGCAGAATTCCTGGGGCAACTTGGGTTAATTGCCAAGCTTTTGGTGGATGGTCATCAAGCCATTTTAATCGCGATTTTTAATATGCCCATGATGTTTGGTTTCCCATTGAAAGGGACGGATGACCATACGCATGACATGTGCAGAACCGTACCTTAAGAACCATATTATTAACGGGTTGCTAAAAGCCTCACCGGTTGCACGGGGCAAGATGTGTCCCCACTTCAGATACACCCATGCAACTAAGATTCAGATCACTTTGTCAAGTGGGATCCAAATAAATCCTCAAAGTGCTTTGTGAATATACCCTCTGGTTATTTAACATAGCCATGGAAAATTGTTGATTTTCCCCTTAAAACCTCCAATTATAAGGGCTTTTCTATGGCTACGTTAAATAACCAGATGGTACTCATTTCTGTTGGTGGCTCGACTTGACATGTGTTCTTTTTTCAATGCACCCACTTTTGGTCGCCACATCGAAAAATTCTCGGTGAAATCTCCAGCGTGGAAAGTCCCACGGAATGCCGGACATCTACGACATGTACGACTCAATGTCCCAGCGGCTGAACCCCAATAGGGGGGCTCCACTTTTTTTTTCGTAGGGTTTACCCCAAGGTCCTTGGTGCAGATGTCCCACTGTATATCTTGATGGTGACATCCGCAGGACCTTACGCGGACCTTTCCGGCCTTGCCTCCGCTGCGCTGCAACGAGGACAAGGCAAATCATGACATGTTTTCAGTACCATTTTTGATGGTTAAGTCAGTTAAATCCCTACAAGGTATAGACCCCCAAACGAGATCTAAGTTGACGCTTAAATAATTTGGTGAACTCGGGTTCTTAGATGTTCTTAGGACATACCAACTATAGTTCATCGGTTTATAGCTATAAAACAATTTTTGGCGGGGGGGCGGTTCAGCGCTATGGAATGTAGTATTTGGGAGCGATGATAAGAGCTATGGGTTCCCTCATCTTCCAGTTGGAGCTACGCATTGAGAGTTTCCCGGTTCCCGGTTCGATAGTAATTATAGGTTTACCGTAAATGAGCATCATGATTGGATGATGATCATACAAAACTCCAATAACTATGGTTTATGGTACTTATAACTATAGTTACTGGGGCTTATAAACCAACTTATAACTGGGGGGCCTCACATTGTAGTTATGATCATAGTTTCATAATTTTGACATCATGAGAATCAAGGACATGGCACTTTGAGATATTGATATCACTGATTGGTTTCAAACATTGTTTATTTTCCATAATGTATGGGATAATCCTTCCCATTGACTTTCACATGTTTCAGAGGGGTTGAAACTTGAAACCACCAACCAGATCATGATGATCGTATTTCAGTATTATCATTGCTGTCTTTGATCCTGGCACCATCGTCCTGCACCGTTTCGCATCACCAGTTGATCTTCTCAGAGTTTGGACCCATCCCCTTCTGTACAACTCGGTGGCCCACCTGAAGCCTTAGAGAAATCCCAATTGTCAATCGGAAAATCAATAAAGTCATCTATAGATAGGTTATTTCAATCTATTGTTCCGAAATTTTCTATATGAGATTATATGACATCATATGACCAAGTTATAGATTCCCAGACAATCATCAATGAAAGTCATCTTTAGAACAGCTATTTCATGGTATTTTCACAATATTTCCAAATTAAAACCAAGTTACATTCCCAGAGGTTCCATAAAGCTACCATAGTTCATGTTATTAATTTAAACGTCAAATACAGGTTCATATATGATCTATTTCCTGTATATGTTTCCCAGGTTCACATGTCCATGATATTTCCAAGTTAGATTCCAAGATATTTCCATGATCACGGAAATAGATACGACCATGTTTAATGATTTAAGCTCTATATCATGGACTATGTTGTACTGTGGGTAAAACAATGAACCATTCCCCAAATCACTATTTTTTATAGGTGGTATGATTCCCATTCCCAGGAAAAAGGGTGGTTTATGGCACTGTTTTACCCACATTAATCTTTGTCATAACATGGAAATATCATTAATGATCATTATATATATATATTTGTTTTAATGATTACCATATTTTTAATGACCATATTTAATGATGTTTTTGAAACACTGCAGTCATGTCTTGTGGTGATTTGTAGGTTGTATGATTTCAAATCCAAGCTAGAGACGTCGGTGGCAAAGTACCTCTGATGAGGTAAGCTGTGATGATTATCAGAGGTTCTTGCCAGCAAAGTGCACAGATTAAGAGTTTCTGTCATGTTGCATGCTTATTTGTTGTCTATTCCCCAAATCACCATAGATAGGTTGTGTAAACCATTCCCAAATGGGTGGATTATGACATTGGTTTACCCACATTAATCTATATATTTTACCTGCATGAATCTTTGTCATATCATGGACATATCATGAACGATCATTATATAGCATTAATCTATATAAGGATTTTCGTGTCCTAGTCATATAGTAGTTCACATAAAATTATATCTAGTATATTAGTATAGTATAGTATAGTATATTACCATATATCTAGTATATATCTATATTTATATCTCCTTGGTGGTTTGGAACATGATTTTTATTTTTCCATTCAGTTGGGAATGTCATCATCCCAACTGACGAACTCATATATTTTTCAGAGGGGTAGGTACACCACCAACCAGCAACAAATGGATGGTTTTTTGATGGGAAAATCCCAATCGATAAAAGGATTACGATAACTAGGGGTACCCCCATATCTAGTATATTAGTATAGTATATTATATTATATTATATTTTATTTTATTATATTATATTACTTTATATCTACTATGCATATATATATATACTATCTATATCTCCTATATTTGAAAGTCCTTTGAAATAGATAGACTATATATATATAGAGTAATATACGACAAAACAATCTATATACTGGATAGATATAGTAGAACTATAAATTACTATATATAGCTTGGGTTTGAGACATAACTATGGAAAAATCCACCATTTTCAATGAGCAAATCCACTATTTCTATGGATATCCAGAGGGTATTTTCCCAAAGATTCCTCAGATATTGTCAAAGCCTTTAATATCTCTAATATCTTCTAATATCTCTACTTTATCTAAGTACTATTAGTAATCTTATTACTATATCTTCTATATATGGACTATCTTCTATATCTATATCTCCTATATTTAAGTTCTACCTTTTTCCTCTGGTCCTTTGGTCCAGTCCTTTGCCAAACGGCACGCCAGTCCATCCTCACCGAGCGGCTTCGACGTATCGTCCTGGCCTACATCGAGCGAGGCACCTGGCCGGCCGGGCCGGCCCCATGGGGGGACGTGACCAAGAAACATGGGGATACCATGTGGATATGGATACAAAGTCTATAATCTATAATCTATATCTGTATCTATCTATAAATTTAAGAACGGTAATAATAACAATAATAAGACGTAATAATGACAATCATATACATTGTAACATATATAACCAATGGCAATCTGGATGTAAGGGCAAAGTGAGCTGACTATCGATCAATAATTACGTTCAAGACCAGTTGTTTGAGGGGATGAACAACAGGTTTATAGTTTCAAATAGAGTTTGTGGTTACTTTACATCCAAATAAATGGTATGATGATTCCAATTGACAAGCATTTTTCGGGGGGCATGGGTTGAAACCACCAACCGAAAGCACAGACATTTTAGTTCGCGATCCGCTGAGAATATGCATACAATATATATACACACGTTTAGGGATTTCTTGGGATTTTGCAGACCCCCCTTTGGTGTAGCCAAGCTGGTCATGAAAGATCATTGTTGCTACCCTTCTCATTGAGCAGCGTTTCGCTGAGAGCCGATCTGTCGACAAGTCCTAAAGTTCCTAAAACCCAAAAACTTGCGTCAAAAACTTGCGGGTTATAGGAATAAATGTAAGTCATATAGTCCTAAAGCCCTATTTTGTAAGTCAATGTTGTCCCTTAAAGCAACCCCATTTTTATTACGGTTCATCTGGAGTGGATTACCCGGCCTGGTAAACGTTAACAAAAAGCGAACTGGAAGGATCCACCATGTTTAATTAATGGGTAAATCAACGAACTAAATAGGCCATTTTCAATAGCTATTTTGACATAACCATAGGGTATACCCCAATGTTGGTAGTGTTTGATGTGTGATGAATTCCGGAACTGTTGGTAGATCCCTGGAGTGCATCCATTGGGTTGAAGGCTTACTTCGAGGTGGTACGCCCCAGTTTTGTTTGTTTGTTACCAAACTATATGTACTCACCATAAGCGCCAGGGAAAAACCTAGTCACCACTTAGTTTTAAACCAACTTAGCTCACACGCATTGCCAGGACGTTCTTTGAGCACCAACACTCGCGTGTCCCTGGCATCCATTCTGGCATCTGCGGAGTGCTGGAATGTGCTGGATCACAAAGAAATGGAGGAGAATGCATCTGCTAAAAATAGGTTGGCTGGTGGTTTTGAACCATTATTTAAAGATGATTATACGAACTTGTTCTTTTGGGTGGTTGCTATGCGCAACGCACCAAGAATTGGTGTTTTTCTTTCACATATGTGTCATGTTCCATCCAAGAGATGGTATGATGATCAAGGGGATCGAAACCACCAGGTATTGTAGGTAATGTTCCTGAGATCCTTGGCGTAAATAGTGAATCGATGGATCAATCGTTTGTGACTATGTCAATCCGTTTAAAGAGTTTAAATATCTCTAACCACCCCAAATCATATCCCAAATGCTTCCTCAGAAGGTACGACTGGATCCATAGTCTTCCGGTGTTTCAGAGCTGCCGACCGACTGGTCAGCATTTTTGTTGTGGCTAATGTGGGCAAAACCAATGCCATAAATCACCTATCATTTGCGGATGGTAAAATCCATTCATGGTGATTTCGGGGATGGTTTATGGCACTGGGTTTAGCACATTAAATGAAGTTACCTTGCACTTGCTGACACAAATTGCAATGAAAGCCGCATACAGGCTAGCAACTGGATTATTACTGGACTATATGACTATCACAATAAACAATTATGAAATGATGTTGTCTAGATATATTTTATCCATATCATTCATTGTGTTGTACAGTACAATACGCTTACAACTTATGACCCCATTCACTGTTGATTGCAGGGTTGATTACAGTAGCTACTGTATTTTGTTTGGATTGTTCAAGCAGGTGATATGATTATGATATGCTAGTGAAAACAATATATGTGTTCTATATCCACCTGCTTCCCCGTGTCTGTTTTTTGATCATGTGTCAAAACCTCAATACCCCAACTGTATTATCGACTATCAACATTATTTTCTCCTCATGATTTCCGATATGTTCCATCTACGAAACTAGTAACTTAACTTAACCATGTTTCTTAACCAGTCTTCGGAGATGTTTCTTAACACCAGTGCTGTGTTTGTTCACCAATGTCCCACTGGTACGCTGTTGTTGAGTTGTTGAATCCATGGTATTTGAAAAACTTATGGAACATATATGAACAGATGACACAGAAATTAATCTGTGGGACATTGGACGTTGACGGGGAGATAATAATAGTACCATCTGGTTATTTAACATAGCCATGGAAAATCCCTTATAAATGGAGGTATTAATGGGAAAATCATCTATAAATGGGCCATTTTCCATGGCTATGTTAAATAACCAGAGGGTAGTATATAATCCAATGATCGTGTTTCTTAACCAATCGGCCCATGAATTATTGAATTACTGTATCATGAACATCGCACTATATTTCCATTTAATCTGTGAGTCAAAAAACCACTTGATATCAGAAAAAAAACAGTTTGGTATTAAGAAACCTAACGTCAGGGTATATATATATGTATCAATTAGCCTCCTGTAAACTAACAAAAAGATGTGGAAAACCCAGCATTATAGATGATGACTCTACAAAATGGGTTGTCCAGATCATTTGTTGAAAAAGGGTAGTGGTTGGAAATTGTGGGCCTGTAACCATTCGACATCAGAAAAACATTAGTCATGGGGATACCCAACAAATGGATGGTTTTTTGATGGGAAAATCCCAATCTATAAATGCTGGTTGGTGGCTGGTGGTTTCAACCATCTGGATGATTTTCCATCATATATGGGATGTCATCCCAACCCCATTGACGAACTCCATCATTTTTCAAGATGGTAGGCATACCACCAACCAGATAAATAGTAATAAGATACTTGATATCAGAATAATTATACATCAATTAGTATGGAAATTGGTATCAGATACCCTCTGGTAAATTAACATAGCTATGGAAAATCACCATTTTTAATAGATAAACCATCTATAAATGGCCATTTTCAATAGCTATGTTAGTTTACCAGAGGGTACATCAATGCAACCACCTGATATCATACATCAATTGATGAAACAACTGGAGTCCCAGTTTCGTCCTAGTCTTCCGACAAAGCGCACCGGCCAGGCAGCAGGTCTCGCCCGTGCACCGTTGGCGGCCACCACTGCCAGGTGTTTCTTGCCATGCGGGACCCCATTTTTGTGGTTAATACATGTTAATATGCCATCAGTTTCACTGGAATATGTCATATATATAATATATACATATACAAACGTGCACATATATATATATATTTGTGTATATATATATATATGTATGTATATACATATTTACTGTGTTCTATATTTATTTATAGGATTTTATAGGGATGTTCCATAGTGTTGTATTTTTAATATCATATGGTCATTCTTTGATTACTCTATAGTCACAGTCATTGCCCGCAATATAGTAGGTGGCAGGCACATCCACGGAGGGAGTATGGATAGAACCAGCCAAGAATATCCATCAATGGGACTCAACCCTTGGGGATAGGTAGCATACTTGGGGTCGTCCAAAAATGGTGTTTGTGCATCAATTCATCGCAATTCTTCAATTGGAACATTGATGTTTGAAACCATAAGAGTTTGGGGGTACCCATGGGTAGCCCGTTTTTGGGCAAAGCCAAAGGTTACAGATTGAATGATAGCCCCATGGATTTAAAATTGGGATACCCTCTGGTAAATTTACATAGACCCTGGCAGATAGGGGTTGGAAGACTAGTTTCCATTAAAAATTGGTGATTTTCAGGGTCTATGTTTATTTTCCATAGGGTAACTTGGTAAGGCTGCTACTTACCGGCCACAAAAAACCAACTGGATGGATTCATCGGAGTCGAGTCCGGGTCAGGAAAGTTCCAAGCGTCTCATGAGTTGCGCAGTGATTTACCCTCTGGTAATTTAACATAGCTATGGAAAATCACCATTTTTAATGGGAAAATCCACTATTAACGGTCATTTTCAATAGCTACGTTAAATTACCAGAGGGTAGGTCAGTTTATGTTTGTCAGTAGCATACAACCAGCCTTAGAGACGTATCACCTGTATGATGCAGCAGCATTGGCTCCACTGGTCTTTTTGAAGGGACATCAAAACCATCCTATTTATGGGTGCCCAATGACGGCACAAGACTAGTTCTTTGGGTTTGGGTATATTAGTACTGCCTTTCTTCAACTATAGTTAAATTATATCCATATGTTTTCAATGTTAGCCTTCAATGTCGAAGTAACATTGATATATCCTGGTTGGTGGTTTGGAACATTTGGATTATTTTCCATTTCATAGATATGGGAGATATAATCCTTCCCATTGACAAACTCATATTTTTCAAGATGGTAGGTATACCACCAACCAGTAAAATATTCAATTAAAAACGGGAAACCGAAGGAAAATACTGGACATCGGCCAGCGGGTCCCAGCGCCATGTTGCCTCCCTTGGCAGCAATCAGTCGAGGTTCCGTGGCAGTGTGGACTGCCTTCTGATTTTTTTTTGTGTGTATGAAATATGGAATGTGATGAATATGGAGTATCATGAATATAAACTATTCCCTTTCCTATGAGTCTTTTTTGAAGGACACTGTGATCTTTTCTTGGGAACCAACCTGTACAACAACAACAAAGTCAAAGTGGGGATGCATTATTTCCATGGTATCATGATCCTGCGCTTTATTGCTGCATGAGGAATGCAACATGCAGTCGCAGTATTGCAAGACTACAACTTGTGAACATTTTGTTCATGGATCATGTATATGCATGCACATGGAACAATATAGATACTGTGCATCATATTCTATGATCTATAGGCATAAACTTGATTGTTAACATGTTTTTATTCCATATATTCCCATTTTCAGACACATGCATTTCTGTTCCCATAGATTTTCCCCTCAAAATGTCACCCGAACCCGGCCCGAACCCTAGACTCGCCAACCCTGGCCAGGCATTTGTGGACAGAGTTTGAGGGCTCAGTGGGGCTCTTTTGTATGGAGCAAACTGCAATGGTTTTATCCCTTTGGCTATAAGGGTCCCAGGAAAAAAAAAAAACAACAACAAGTTCTTCCAGGACGTGAATAATCACGCTTCCCTTATTCTTTTCCAGCTGTCACTTTTTTCTGGACCTATTTCTTGGGTTGCTGTAGCACACTGTACCTATGCCACAACAGCAGGTACTTTGGTTTATATACTTACCTTTGTTTGGATATCTCTCACGACCAATCCTGGTCAACTACCGCAGGTCCTACAGGGGCGCAGGCATGGGGGTGAGCGGGGGTTCAATTGTGGAAAGCCCTTCATTGATTTCCCGAGTAATGTTTTCTCCATCATATTTTAGCCACATTTTTTTGTTTGGGTCAAAATTGGGTACTCCAAAAAACATGGATAACATCCAAAAAAAATGGGTACTCGACAGTATATGCTAAAAAGTCGACAACATCTGCGGTTCCATGGCTCTTACGATCAGGCCCTCAGGCCGACCTCCCAACCCTCCATACCTGACCGGAGAGTTTGGATCGGAATTACCTTCGGATCCCCCACCATGACACACTATTCTGACATAGTTTCAGACATATCCTCTGGAAGTATATATAATTTTTTATATAAATATATTCTGACATTCTATCTGACATTCTTTCTGGCATCTATTCTGGCTTTCCATCTGGCATCTTTTCTGGCAATCATTCTGGCATGTGTTCGGGTCCAGGCCTGGCCCACTGCATCCGGAGCTCGCAATCTCGGATCCATTGCTGCCCACATGACGAGATGGCGGAGAGAAGAAAGAAAGAAGCAAGGAAGGAAGGAAAGAAGGAGTTGCACCTTTGTCAAAATCTAGAGACCCTCACCTGAAAGGTAGGGAAAATCATGAAAGTTGTTGCTTGATTCGCTTGATATCCCAATGCTTCTTCTAAACCCAGTGATACCCCTACCATACCCCTATTTGGTGTAATTTATAGGGACCCCCATGGTAGCCCTATTCCGATCGAATCCACGATGTTCCAAACACTCCACAGGCATCAGCCAAGAAGTCCTTCGGTGCCCCCACTCTGATCCCTGAAAAGGCGCAGAACTTCAAGGCAAGGTCCCCATGGATGGGGTCATATGTTGAGTTAAGTTGTGTTTTGAATATTGTATACTCATATAATCTCATATACTTTCTACACAAGAAGATAGAGCAGTTGTTTCTTCATGTTTCCTCCTGGTTTTACTATATATACTCTGGGGTAAAAGTAGATGGCTCAGAATCTTGAGTTGCGCCATCTATGTCAAAAAAAAAAATGGGGGATAGATGGCTCAACTCCCTTTAAAACAGGGCAGTTGAGCCATCTATGTCCCTAAAAATGACATATTTTTTGCAATCTTCTGCGCTGGTTTCTCCCCATTTTTTTTTCTCAACATCAAGCTGCTTTTTTGGGACATAGATGGCGCAACTCCCGGGGTTGCGCCATCTATGTGGGCATTCCCAGCCTGATTTTGGCGAAATGACGGAAGTTGTTTTGAGCCAGCAAAGGTCGAGACGCTTTAAAACCCAACTTTAACAAGTGACCTGAGGAACCGTTTTTGCCGTCAAGAAACGGTTCCTCAGGTCACTTGTTAAGATTTGGTTTTAAAGCGTCTCGACCTTTGCTGGCAAAATGACGGAAGTTGCGCCATCGATGTCCCAAAAAGGGACAACTCTGATGTCTTTCCTGGTGGTTTTGCCTCCTGTCTTGGGACAACTCTGATGTCTTTCCTGGTGGTTTTGCCTTCTGCCTTGGGATAACTCTGATCGATGTGGCATATTTTGGTTAGGTTGGTTGATGGATGTCGGGAGATATGAGGGAGTTGCGCCATCTATGTGGGCATTTGCAGCCTGATTTTGGCGAACGAGTTGGAGTTGCGCCATCTATGTCCCAAAAAGGCAGCTTGATGTTGAGAAAAAAAATGGGGGGAAACCAGCGCAGTGCCAATTTTCCACTTGGGTTCGCCCCGGAAAACGGACCCCACCAAGTGTCAAGTTTCCTTTGGCAAACTCAGGAAAAAGCCACTTTTCGGGGGACTTGGTGGGGTCCGTTTTCCAGGGCCAAGCAAAGTGGCACAAGTGGCAAATTGCCAGAGCGTAGACGACGATTGCAAAAAATATGTCATTTTCAGAGACATAGATGGCGCAACTCCCACTCATTCGCCAAAATCAGGCTGCAAATGCCCACATAGATGGCGCAACTCCCTCATATCTCCCGACATCCATCAACCAACCTAACCAAAATATGCCACATCGATCAGAGTTATCCCAAGGCAGAAGGCAAAACAACCAGGAAAGACATCAGAGTTGTCCCAAGACAGGAGGCAAAACCACCAGGAAAGACATCAGAGTTATCCCAAGACAGGAAGCAAAACCACCAGGAAAGACATCAGAGTTGTCCTTTTTGGGACATAGATGGCGCAACTGCCTCCTGTCTTGGGATAACTCTGATCGATGTGGCATATTTTGGTTAGGTTGGTTGATGGATGTCGGGAGAAATGAGGGAGTTGCGCCATCTATGTGGGCATTCCCAGCCTGATTTTGGCGAACGAGTGGGAGTTGCGCCATCTATGTCCCAAAAAGGCAGCTTGATGTTGAGAAAAAAATGGGGGAAACCAGCGCAGTGCAAATTTTCCACTTGGGTTCGCCCCGGAAAACGGACCCCCCACCAAGTGTCAAGTTTCCTTTGGCAAACTCAGGAAAAAACTCTTTTTCGGGGGACTTGGTGGGGTCCGTTTTCCGGGGCCAAGCAAAGTGGCAAAGTGGCAAATTGCCAGAGCGTAGACGATTGCAAAAAATAGCGCCAAAATCAGGCTGCAAATGCCCACATAGATGGCGCAACTCCCTCATATCTCCCGACATCCATCAACCAACCTAACCAAAATATGCCACATCGATCAGAGTTATCCCAAAACAGGAAGCAAAACCACCAGGAAAGACATCAGAGTTGTCCTTTTTGGGACATAGATGGCGCAACTGCCTCCTGTCTTGGGATAACTCTGATCGATGTGGCATATTTGGTTGATGGATGTCGGGAGATATGAGGGAGTTGCGCCATCTATGTGACATTCTGATTTTGGCGAATGAGTGGGAGTTGCGCCATCTATGTCCCAAAAAGGCAGCTTGATGTTGAGAAAAAAATGGGGAGAAACCAGTGCAGAAGATTGCAAAAAATATGTCATTTTTAGGGACATAGATGGCGCAATTCATTTTTGAACCCATCGAAGAAGAAATTTCGGGTGTTTGAATGGGGTTTAAGGACATAGATGGCGCAACTCATTTTCAAGGTATTGCAATGCAATTGTATTTTTTTTTCAATATATTTTTGTCAAAATATGTTGAAAAATGAGATTTCTATCATTTCTATCCATAAAATTCTGTCCACAATGAGTTTTAAAACATTCAGTGGTTCATTTACAAGGTATTGCAATGAATTTGTTCGAAAATTTGACTGCGATTTAATTGACATAGATGGCGCAACTCATTTTTGAACCCATCGAAAAAGAAATTTTTGGCGTTTGAATGGGATTTAAGGGACATAGATGGCGCAACTCATTTTCAAGGTATTGCAATGCAATTGTATTTTTTTTTTCAATATATTTTTGTCAAAATATGTTGAAAAATGAGATTTCTATCATTTCTATCCATAAAATTCTGTCCACAATCAGTTTTAAAACATTCAGTGGTTCATTTTCAAGGTATTGCAATGGATTTGTTCGAAGATTTGACTGCAATTTAAGAGACATAAATGGCACAATTCATTTTTGAACCCATCGAAAAAAAAAAAATCTGGTGTTTGGATGGGGTTTAAGGACATAGATGGCGCAACTCATTTTCAAGGTATTGCAATGAAATTGTAAAAGTTTTTTCGATATATTTTTGTCAAAATATGTTGAAAAATGAGATTTCTATCATTTCTATCCATAAAGTTCTGTCCACAATGAGTTTTAAAATATTCAGTGGTTCATTTACAAGGTATTGCAATGGATTTTTTCGAAGATTTGAATGCAATTTAAGGGACATAGATGGTACAATTCATTTTCGAACCCATCGAAAAAGAAATTTCGGGTGTTTGAATGGGGTTTAAGGGACATAGATGGCGCAACTCATTTTCAAGGTATTGCAATGCAATTGTATTTTTTTTTCAATATATTTTTGTCAAAATATGTTGAAAAATGAGATTTCTATCATTTCTGTCCATAAAATTCTGTCCACAATGAGTTTTAAAACATTCAGTGGTTCATTTTCAAGGTATTGCAATGAATTTGTTCGAAGATTTGACTGCGATTTAAGGGACATAGATGGCGCAACTCATTTTTGAACCCATCGAAAAATAAATTTCTGGCGTTTGAATGGGATTTAAGGGACATAGATGGCGCAACTCATTTTCAAGGTATGGCAATGAATTTTTAAAAGTGTTTTTCCAATATATGTTTGTCAAAATACGTTGAACAATGAAATTTGCATCCATCAATTCTGTCCACAATCAGTTTTAGAACCTTCAGTGGTTCATTTTTAAGGCGTGGCACTGAAAGTTTGAAAGATTTGAATGCGATTTAAGGGACGTAGATGGCGCAATTCATTTTTGAATTCACCGAAGAAATGATTCTGGCGTTTGAATGGGATTTAAGAGACATAGATGGCGCAACTCATTTTATACAATACAAATTTGTGCAATTTCACCGTATATACAAGCAAAAATGATAGGAAATGTAGTAAATTTAGTTAACAATACCCTTATGTCCATCTACTGGAGTGGCAGTTGCGCCATCTACCTTTTCATTTTAAAGTAGGGCGATTTTTTCTTCAATTGGCGGACCTCGTTTTATGTTCCAGCTAAAATAGCGCCGTTTTCTTTCTCAGCGCGCTGTGCCATCTTATGGGTATTTTGGTTTTTGAGTTGAGCCATCTACTTTTACCTCAGTGTATATATTTATAAATATATATATATTATATTATATATATATTATATTATATATATATATTATATTATATATATACACTGTATGTAGACCTACTTAATTTGAGAATCGGTAGATTGAAGAGAGCAAGGTAGGGTGATGCCTTTTTCATGAAGGTGCTTCGCACTTGTTGATGTCAACAAAAATGTCTGCACAAGACACATAGCCATTAAAAAAAAAAAAAACAATTTTAATCTTGGAGTTGGCACATGTTCATATAGATTCATATACAAATATATACAAATTCCACCAAGTTCCCATGAGTGCTGCCCATACCCCATCCCTTCAGTTCCGTGCCGTGGCCGTTCGCCGTTCGCCGTTCGCAGGCTGCAGTCGAGAGCAGCAAACAGAGCATTGAGCGAGAGCACTGGGATCGACAGAAGCGGGGTCGACTCAGCGAGTCGCAGAGAAATTCCGGATATTCGGGGGGACTTCAAAAAGTTGTGGTGGGGATATCATGGGGTACCCTCTTGGTAAACTGTCACATAACTATGGAAAATAACCATTTTAATGATGGTTAATGATGGTTATATTATGATGGTTAATGATGGTTAATGATGGTTAAACTAACATAGCTATTGAAAATGGCCATTTATAGTGGATTTACCCATAAAAAAATGGTGGATCTTTCCATAGCTATGTTAAATTACCGGAGGGTAAACTTTTGCAAAATTCTAATAGGATACAATGGGATATAATTCAATGATGACTTGGTGGTAGTCAGATTGTTCTCAATCAGATAAATGGGATGATGATCCCCTTGGTGACTTTCGCATTTTTTTTCAGGAGCTCAATCACCGGTATGATTTGATGGTGATCCGTGGATTCCGGGACAGCAGGGCCCCACTTGATCTTGGTATATTGAGGTATCGAATGGGTGTAAGTGTCACTCAACTGGTTGGTGGTTTGGAACCATGGATTTTTTCATTTCCCCAATCGGATGATGATCCGATCTGACGAACTCATATTTTTCAGGGGGGTAGGTATACCACCAATTAGTCAATGTTGACTTGGCAAGTGACAGAGACCCGGTTGTGATTTTCCATATAGAATCGTGCAAAACACAGGCAATCAGTGGCAATTCTTGTTGTAGACTTTTGTTTTGTTCTGTCAATCTTCACACAGAAAATGTATCTATATATATATATATATAAATGGACATGCCCCTGGTAATCAGACATGGCAATAGACAATTCACCATGTATTTATAGATGTTTGTAGATGATTATTCTATTTGAATGCCAAATTGATAGTGGAATTCATGGAATTTCACATTGCAAGGTTTCCCCTTAACGGGGATCCTTTGTTGACTTTTCTGAGTGTTTTCATCCAAGCGTTCTGTAGCGTTCCAAGGCGCTTGCAACTTGTGGAATCGTCCATGCAGCACTTGGAAGCTCATGAGCAAGAGCTATTGAAGCAAGAGCTGGACATCCCAGTTCCGTGGATCATGTGGATCATCCCCTGGACAAGTGCCATGGTCTTTCCGTTTTTCCCATAGGTATTGGTCATCAATGAAATGGGATTTCGATCATTTCTATAAAAAAATGGTGTTTGGATTCCCAACATCATATGGATGAATGGATGACCATAAGCATCCACAAGCAACCATGCTTCGACGCTGACCACAATATTGCTAACTACTGCAGCATCATGGAGCACATGGGTAGTAAATAATGATAAATCATGAGTCCTTTCAAGATAGAATAAAAAGTCAAGTTAGAGCCTATAGCGACGGGCTGGCCCATTGCGGGAAGCCACAAATACGAGGAGAATCAGTCAGGTTTTGGCCACCCTGGCACCTGAGGACGCCACCTGACAGGTGCGTCCTCATTGGAGGTTTCCGTTTTGGGGCTACCCCCAAATCATCCAGTCATTAGACTCCATTAGATGATTTGGGATGGTTGGGGCGATGAAACCTAGTGCTAAAACAAACTCCAGTCATTGGTCGTCCAAACTATAGTATTGAAACCTATGATGACTTGGAATCCCTCATTTTCACAAACCTCCAACAGTGCTTTTAGGAAACCATCCAACAGTGATAAGGCCATCCTCCTTGACGGGCCATCTTTTTTGGGAGTGGTTCAGGAACCTCATCGAAGCTCCTCGAAAACTGGGAAAAATGTTGGCTTCATCATGGTTTCACCATGCTTCACCTTTGTAGCCAATATTGCTAACAGTTTGATAAACTGTGATAACATGTGACAACATACACATACACATACATATACTACAATGTGAGGCCCCCAAGATAGCTAAGTTGGTGAACATAACTCCAATTTCACTATGGTTTATGGTACTTATAACGAACTAGTTACTGGGGCGAATCTAAACCAACAAACATAACTAAGGGGCCTCACATTGTACAATACCTGGTGGTTTCGATCCCCTTGATCATCATACCATCTCTTGGATGGAACATACATATACTATCATATACATATACATATACTATCATATACTACTATACATAAATCAAGTGGTTGTCCAATGACCCACCACCAAGCCCCAACTGCTTCGTCACCGAGTCACCAAAAACCGCCCCAACGAACCGCCGAGGTTCGAGGCGCGAGAGCAGCGCGGCGTGGTGGCGAAATTTCGGTGCCGATTTGGGGCCGGGGTGGCGCAGTGCTGGGCTGATCTGTTGCTGGGATGATCCGACGGGGGTTCCGGATACCCTCTGGTAAGGACTAACATAGCTATTGGAAGTGACCATAGAACTAGTGGATTTTCCCAGCTATAAAATGGTGGATCTTTCCATAGCTATTTGTATGTTTACCAGAGCGTACCCAAGAAATGGATGGTTTTTTGATGGGACAAATCCCGTTTGACAAATGCTGGTTGGTGGTTTTGGAACATGTTTTTTTCCCATATATTGGGAAAAATACTCGTAACTGATTAAATCATATGTTTCAGAGCGGGTAGGTCAACCACCAACCAGAAATGGATGATGATAACTAGGGGTACCCCTTCAGGAAACCTCCGTTTGAAGGTCCCAGTTCGTTCACGAATCCCGGATCGCCAAAACAGACTCAAAACTCAACCAGGTGTTTTAAAATGGTTGTTACCCTCTGGTAATTTAACATAGCTATTGAAAATTGCTATTTATAGTTGATTTACCCATCAAAAATGATGATTTTCCGTAGTTATGTTAGTTTACCAGAGGGTAGTCTTTGAGGGAAGGGATTATGATGGATTATGTGTGATCAAAAACTATCAAAGTCGACTGAAAATGGCGATAGTTCATGACCAAAGATTGGAGACTCCCAAATTGGAACCTCACTTGTAATTGCAGTGTGAGGCCTCCAATAACTATGGTTTGTGATACGCAAATAACGAACTAGTTACTGGGGCGAATCTAAACCAACAAACAGAACTGGGGGGCCTCACATTGTGGATTGGATTTGTACTTTCACCACTTCACCTCTCAAAATCTGTTTGTTCACCAGTATTTTACCTGGTAGTTATGTTATATTTACTATTGCTTCACCTACCTAATAAGAGCTATAAAGCACAACCAGGACATCCCCATGGTTCAGCACTTGGCCAGACACTGGAGCACCGCGGACTTCGATGCCATTGCTGTCTTGGGGCAGGTGAAAAGGGGTGTTCGCTATGGATGGAGTGGATGTCCATGTGTTTATCATATATATATATATTGTATATATCACATAGATATATGTGTTATCATACTTGAAGTAAATGTGTTGATGTACATATATATAATAGTTATTTAATATATATATATATATCATGACCTAATAATTGTATATATATGCATATGTCAACAAGTATAGTAGATGTCTTTTCAGTAGTATGTACATCTAGTATATACAAATGTATACCATGAATATGTATGTATGTATATATATATTATAGGTTTGTATCGGTGTATCGGTTTGTCATGATGATCTTGATATGTTTTATCGGCAACAACGTTAAGCCGAAATGAGGGGATAAGCACAGGATTGTTCATTCCAAGATACTGCAAATAGCAAAGACAAACATGAAACACATTTGGAGGTTTCCGTAAATGGGGGTACCCATGGGTACCCCTAAATCATCCATTTTAGATGGATTTTTCCTATGTTTAAGCATCCATTTTGGGGATCCCCAAAAAAACTATGGAAACCCCGTGAGCTTGGCAAGAATTGTGGGTGATCCTACTGAAAAGCCATGTAAGTTGGAGCTGTTTGATTTACTGTATACTAAGTATACTAGATCTGTGCAGTATATATCAGATTGATATACTGTATACTATATTTATATACTATAGACTTCTGTTTGATGTTTCTAAGATCTTTTTTTGGTATCGATCACGTTCTAGAAATACTCCTGTGATGATTTTGCGGGATGACAGTCCTGGGAAATTGGATGTTGTTGGATGAATGCATTTAGTCTTGCCCCAAAGGGTATACCCCAACATACCTCAACATTGCAATGTCGGAACATCATGGAACATCGGCATCAAGCAGTCTGGTTCTGGATGCCACAGTCTAGTATCAACACCTAAGGGATGGCTGTGTTTTATTTTCCCAGCTAGAAATGTTGGATTTTCCCTCACCTGCCAGGGGTCCTTTGGAACCGTGTACTTGGTTCAGAACAAGGAAGATCCCTCCCAGTGCCCGTTGGGAAGATGTGAGATCTCTTGATGGTTGCTGAGAGCAAGACGAGATGTTCGATACTTTTGAGATGCCCATACCCCTCTGAATGTGTGTGTATATATGTATAATTATATATAATCATATGTGTATATATATATATACTTGGGCAACCAATTTCGCATTGCAGAGTTTGGGGTGATTATAGCTAATTCCTTTATGACGCATACATGTCAGTCATGGTTGCCGCACAGAACAAAGTCGGAAAGCCGTTGGGATTTCACGTCTTTGTTGGACCCAAAAGATGCGCTTTTCTTGAACATGTTTGTCAACGGAAAACCTGAGACAAATAATGGAGATGTCGTATATCATGGGTTTCAATACTAAGATGGTCTAATTTGGGTTTACTGCTTACTACCCCCATTTTAGGAAACCTCCAAATATCATTTTTGTAATTCGACGTTGATACCCACCCACCACGGACGCAACGACGGCCTCGAGGTACTTTGCTTTGAAGCAAATGACCAAGCTGAGGCACAGACCTGCGACACTTGGGCGGTGGATCACAGTGCTAAGCCCACGAGGAAACCCCTGATTTTGCAGGCTCTGCACTGCCTGTATTTGATGATCTTGGGGATGGTTTAGGGTCAAGGGTCTACCACATTAATCTAAACATAAACTCAACTCGTTTAGGTGCGGAAAGACAACAAATGGTGAAATCAGGGTGTGTGGTTCCGGGTCTAACGGCTCAACCCCCTGTTTCACAGCCAAATGGAACCAAACTAGCCCCAAAGTACGTTGTTGCCCTCTTGGGGGAAAAATGCTTTGATGGTCATGTGCTTATGGGTTGATAGTGACCAAACATTAGCTTTGAGTCGTTGAGGCTAATTGGTTCATGATGTTTCTTGTTCCATTGGGTCCAATGGTCTTAAAACCGACCTCTGCAATGGACTATCTGTATAAACCCTGGTGATTCTTCTGGGATGTTTGGCCATGCTATGACAGTGATTGACAGTGCATTTTACCCTCTGGTTATTTAACATAGCTATGGAAAATGGTCCATTTGTAGTTGATTTGCCCATTAAAAATGGTGATGTTCAATAGCTATGTTAAATAACCAAAGGGTAGTCTTGATTTCTGGCTTCCACATTTTCAGCCATTGATTTGACACGTCCCACCAGGCATGCCAAGAAGAACCTGAAAAAGTGCGTCTATGCAGAGCCAGGCTTCCCAGGTGACAGCTCCTCCAAGGGTCGCCTGTGATGCCAACGATTTTTTCGATGTGACCGTGAAGAGCACCGTGACGCCAGTTAAGCAACGCAGTACCCGGTACCCGGACTGTTGGTGATATCTTGATATCTTATGGATTTCTATCACACGTCCACAGGCTAGAAACTTAGCCCCGAAACCATTTTCCCCGCTGAAACAGAGGAACATCTTACACACAGGGGGATTCCAGAAAAAAAGGTTGGTCTGAAAATAGAGTATCCGATAGTTGCGGATTATCATTTTGTTTCCCTCTGAAAAAAAACATTTGGGGGTATACACAATTTTCAGACAAACCCAAATAGGTATGGTTGGTTATATACCCAAATGGGGGTTTCCTAAAATGGGGTTACCCCACTATGGATGGTTTATAAATGTTTATAATGGAAAATCCTATTAAAGTGGATGATTTGGGGATACCCCTATTTTAGGAACCCCCCAAATGAACAAGTTGAAATCATTTTGATGTTGGTTATAATCTTCCCTTCTCCCAATCCTTGCAGTGAAGCAACATTGGATTTGCCTTCCAACAGTCGCAGCCGAGGCGAGACGTGCTGTCCCAAGCGCGCAACAGGCTGCGGTGCAGTAGATGTGTTTTACAGCGCCATTAAAATTAAAAGATGCCAAATATTAGATCTATACATGATCTATACATATAGTTTGATATTTTGTTTGGTGCGTGTGTTTTCCTGGAAGGTATTGTAAGACAATGCCCTATCTTCAGGTTGAAAGACTAAGAGTACTCGTCAACATCCGATAAAAATGGAACAAAATTCTGTGCTTGCTCTTCCTCAAAAACATTCAACACACACTTACCCATAGGATCCATGTATGCTATATATATAATATATGGTAACATGGATCCCATCAATATACCCCAGTCATATTAGCATATGTACCAGCACCATGGATCCTATGGGGTAGATTATCTATCCACTATGGGAATAATCATCCCAACTGACTAATATTTTTCAAGATGGTTAAAACATGTTAAAACCACCAACCAGACATTCAACACACACACACACTTATGGGATACATGGCATGTTTCCGCTGTTGCCATATCTCTTCAGTGGATCTGCTTGCTTTTTCGAATCGGCCTGGGACGATCATGAAAAAAAACACGACCATACCACGCCGTTGACAACGGGTTCATCTCGACATGGCCTGAAAAACATGGGACCTGATCTGTAGGTAAAGTGTATATCATAATATATTACAATATCATATGTGGTGTAGTGCTCAAATTACTTCTGAATAGTCGATAGAATATATAATATACATGTTTTTTCATACATCAAACTTTGATGATTTTGATGTGGATGGTCACTAACACCATGGAAAACCCAATGCCATAAACCTCCCATTTAGGGCATACAACATGGGAGATTGTTTATGGCATGGGGCCATACCATATTATAAAGAATGTTTCAAGACTATATACACCCCAACTCTAAAGTCCCAGAGTTTGTTGGAGGGTCAATTTACAGGAACCCCTTATCTTTCAGGCCAAAAAATCACGGTAGTTTCCCTGTAGATGTTCCATCCGATCCTTTGAGGTTACGACCATCCCAATTTTGGCCAGAAAATACCCAGAACATACCTCTTTAATTGGTCATAGCTGCAGTATGAAATTCGCGAGCTGGTAAAATACCACCTGACCTTTTTTTCCGTATGTTTGGGTTGGGTTGGCCTTGCCGATGTCATAACACATCGCAACGTGTGTTAATTGATAGGTGGTTCGTGGAGCTCTTCGCAACGTTTCAGGATGCCAATCACATTTTTATGCTCATGGAGTTCCTTGGTGTTTTGATGGGGTCTGGGGAGTGCTAGGCTTCGGTATTTTTTATATAGCTATATACAAAGGCCATGGCCCTTTTAGTCCATTTACCTATCAGAAATGGTGATTTTCCATAGCTATGTTATATTACCAGAGGGTAACTGGTTTTGTGTCAACCAGAAATGGTCGGATGTGACCAAAAAAGAACCTGAATGGGGAAAGTGTGGTCATCACTGGAAAGTGATCGGATGTATGAACATTGTAGCCTCAAAGTGCAGTTCCTCAGTAGATCTCAGTAGCCCTTCCGCTTGGATCTTGTTTTCAGACCTGGCTTTCCAAGGTTTCTACCTGGCGGGGATTTGTTCAAATGGATCGAGCTGAAGAACCGCTTCTCGGTGGTGCGCCCTCAGGGGCAGGTGACCGGTGTTCCAGACCCATGTTCGCCAAGCATTGCAGCAATATGCAGCAATACAAGATCATAGTGTAGCCTAAATTGTAGTTTCAGACGACATTTTTATACATTTTTCATAGCATCGAACATGGGAGGTTCATTTGTTCTCTGTTGGCTTTTAGCAGAGTAGAGTACCCACATGTTTTTGGGGGGATTCCCTATGTGTGGACCAAAGTGGTGAGACTTAGAGCTCTAAAGTTGGACGCGATGGGCTGGTTGTTCCAACCATGTGTAAATGATAGCCACAATGGCTCGAAAGTGGTGAATTGACCCTTTTATGTACGTAGTAGTAAAAGATAATAGTAAAACCAGCAACGTTTTTTGTATCTGGCGTGTTGTGACATTGCGTGGTTGAGGAGCTTGAAATCAAGATTGATTTGCTACGTTTTTTTTGGAAAGGATCATTTTGAGCACAGCCAAGAATCCTCTAAAATAACTGGTTGGTGGTTTGGAACATGTTTCATTTTTCATAATATATGGGATAATCCTTCCCATTGACTAATATTTTTCAGAGGGGGTTTATTAAAACCACCAACCAGATAAATATGACCATCCCAACATTATCAAAGTGAGATCACCATCCCAAAATATCATAGGCCGGAAATCGTTTCAGCGGGTAACGGTACCCCTATTGCAAACTAGGAATCTGTGTAGGTTATACCTAATCCCTGTAAGGTGGAAGTCCCAAGTCATAATGGGTATATTTCATTATATTTCCGCATTTGTCTATAGGGTTCTATAGGTATTCCAAGTACTTGGAGGGTTTGGGTGTATAGGTGTGTATATATATATATATATCATACAGAGATATAGTTCATAGATGGGTTTTTAAACCCTGGCTGAGGCGCACATCAAAGTAGTTTTTGTCCCCCTAGTTTCTCCCATGACGGGGGGAAGTTTCATGTTTCATGAACACTTTCTGCCAGGTCCACAGGGGACTATGTTTTGTTGGGATTCCTGGCTTTCTTAAGTCCAGTACAAATTGAATGATGACCTCCCAATCTGAATATCCGCATTTCGGTGAATGGCTCAAGTTGGGCTGAAGTAAATACCATCCCTTATAATGTGGCTTTCCTATGGTTTCCTGAAGTATCTGAGGGCTGTCATTACCATCATTACCATCCCGCAATGTGGGTTCCTATGGTTTCCTGAAATGGGAATACCCCTCAATCATCCATTTTGGCTTGGGATTTTCCATGTTAACCATCCATCCATTGGGGTCCCCCATTGGAAACCCCCAAAAAATGGCCATGGCGGCGCCTCGCCGCGATGGCCCGCCAGGAGGAGACCCGATTTTACATGGCGGAGCTCTTGGAGGTCGACTTGTCAGCGGCTGTTGTTAGGATGCCATGGGTTTCAAACAAACCCATACAATGTGAGGCCCCCGTTCGATAGCTAAGTTGGTGAACATAACTCCAATTTCACTATGGTTTATGGATGTTTATGGTACTTATAACGAACTAGTTACTGGGGTTTATAAACCAACAAACATCACTGGGGGGCCTCACATTGTATGGTTGATACATGATGGTTGATGGATGATTTGGTATCTGTGTTGTAGTTGCGGAAAAATGGTAATTACTTGTACATGGTTTATTGGTAATTGGTAATGATGTTTTTGCTCTGAGCCGCCAGCAGATAAATGAGGTTTGCCCACCAACGTGTCTACCACGTTTGGGCCATATGGATATGTCATAAACATGTGCACTCACGCACACAAATGAATATGACAATATGCAACTTGTAACATGTATGATCATCATATATATATATATATTTTTTTTTTGGGCTAGAACTGTAACTATCATGAAATATCACAGTAATCAAAGATGGTATGCTGGGAAGTCCACTTTTTTTTTGTATCGTCAGGCACTGGATGTTCTGCACAAGCAAGGCTTCATCCATCGGGATATCAAGGCAGGCTACTGACATGGGACGACCGATCTTTTTGCTGGGAGAAACTAGCGAAACCTGGCGAAACCTGAGCTCGGTACTTAAGACATCTCATATGGAGAGATGTGGTTTAATGATGTTTAATTATGTTTAACTGGTTGGTGGTTTGGAACATGTTTTATTTTTCCATAATATATGGGATAATCCATCCCAACTGACTTTCATATTTTTCAGAGGGGTAGGTATACCAACAACCAGATTTGTTGTTTTGGGAGGAACCATGGCTGCCATGTAAACCCTCTGTCATTTGGTGCAAACCAAAAAAAAAACTTCGACGGTCCAATGCCTGCGGGACAGTGTCGAGTGCCGTCATCGGGTTTCTGGTGATTTTTGAATTTGCCAAGGTTGGAAATACATGGAAACACACCATTCGGGGAATCCTTATATAGGGGATACAGTTAATAATGTTAAAATCTAATATATATATATATATACATAATTAATATTATTTATATATATATGTATGTATAATCAATATTATATATATATGTTTTATTGTTGGGGGAGCTTCTTTCTAATCCGATCTGTGAGCAATGGTACAATCATGTTATCATGAGATATTCATGAGTATCTCAAACCAATATCAACAAAATAAGACCTTGGGATACCTTTGGCCCGCATATGGCAATATTAAACATCACAAAAAAATCGTGATGACTCATCTGTTAGACAGTGTTATGTCCTAATTGTAGACAATCAGATCCCCAAGGGTAGTTAAACCCTACTCTTTCAGCTTAAACAACCCAATTTGTCATTTTAAAAAACCCATTGTTTCATGTGTAAACACCAATTGTGCATGGTAAAATCATGTAAAATCCTAATTTTGCATAGTTTAGTCCTGCTCAATCCATTGTTTAACACCCATGATGTCCACGTTGTTTCGTTGGGCGGAATCGAAAATTCACTGGCCACCGTGGCCAGTTTGACAACATGATCCTTACGCCTGACGGGCACTTGAAGCTCCTTGACTTTGGCTCCTTGGCGCTGATTAGTGTCAAAAACCTATGGGTTTATTAATGTTTATTGTCAATACCCATAGGATTCATGTATGCCATATATGGCAACATTTACCATTAATATACCCCAAATGATCGCATATATACCATACATGGATCCTATGGGATATGGGAATATGGGGTTCTACTAAGCGATTGAAAAGGGAACCAATTCACAGGTTTTTTTTTTTACAATGATCAAGCAAGAAAAACAAAGGTTGTAGGGGCTTTAGATGGTTTTAGCATCAAACACGCGTGTTTTTAACGATGTGCCGGAATCCCAAATTCAGCAACGGCTTTTAAGAGAAATGGTTGAAAGATCTATCCCTGCCTCAAGTGAAGATGGAGACCAGGAAGATTGCAGCCAAGCAAGTCTTGAAAGTTTGGAGGCTTAATTGTTGATGTTTACGGTTGGCAAATTTGACGTTGAACCGGCTCAACTGATTCAAACGATGGGATTTGAAGCATGAATCATGTTGGATTATCCCTCAAACACTTGGGATTCGATGGCAAAGGAGGTGGGTCATGTCAGCAAATTTCACGAAGCTTGATGCAGATGATTCAACTTCGTGCCTTTTTGGTAGCCTTTGATCGGGCCTATGTTGTTGTTGTTGTTGCTGCTGATGCTGTTGTTGTCTATTCGTCATTATTTTTCTGGGGTTACAGACAATGACAGCATCCCATCAAAGGAAACAAACTTCACGGAAGATGGAAGCACCCACGCTTAAAAACAAAAACAGATATCGACAAGCAATGATAGACAGAATGCACTGGCTGCTGAGTTAGTCCTCTGGTAGACTTCACTGAGGCTCAGTTTCTTGTCTATTTGGGGCCAATATATATATATATATATAACTGGTTGTTGTTTTGGAACATTTTTTTATTTTTCCATATATTGGGAACAATCATCCCAACTGACTTTCATATTTTTCAGGGGTAGGTATACCACCAACCAGATAAATAATGATGGCTATTATAGGGAATCATCCCCAAACCTCTGCGAAAATTTTCTGGTTACCCGTCTGATTTGGTCATCCGTGGTGGGATTGGGACTTCTCCACCAATGACAGCACAGGACATCTGACATTCATGGTTCTTCGTAGTATCCCCTCGTTCGTTTTCTCTTTGTGCATATGGAGGTTTATCTGGCTGGTGTGATGAAATAAAGATTGTCTCAGCTTAAGATCCTTTTGCAATTTGGTTCTTTAAAGTGTTAAAGCCATCAAACATCATTAAACTCATGCAGCAGATCCCACTTTCTGGCCAAATTGGTAAAATCATGGAACATCTCCTAATCATCAAAAATCACTGGAACATTAGGTAAAATCATTGATGAGCCAGGAGATTATATGGGGATGGGTCAAAACCTTGTACCCCTGGTGAACATCAAAATAGCTGGCAAATGGATGTTCATCCCACTAAAAATGGTATGTATAGGTATTGATCCATAGCCATATAGGTAAAATCATTGAACCATTGAGCATCCATCAAAAATCACCTAATCTCCTCATCCTGGCTCATCCGAGCCTTCCCAGGGTTGTGTCGTGCCGATCCCATGACGGCGGGGTGGCCCAAAGGGGTTTGGCTAAGGGTTGTACTGATCATGCCTGATCTAATATGTATATATATATATATACACATAAAATGAGGTATGTGAATTGTAATCTATCACTAATTGCATGGCAGTAGATATTAAAGACATTATATATTATATAATGAAACATATGTGTTTTTACTATATAATATAGATTATATGTGTGGAATGATGAACCAATCACCAGGTGTTAGGATGGATTTGCGGATTGGACATCTGGGGAGTTTGTCAAAACAGAAAGAGGATGTGCAGAACTTGTAGTAATTTAGCCAACAAAATAAGCTAGGACCAGCTGGCTATGGAAATCCTGCACCAGATTGTTACTAGGGGCTTCCGTCATCCAAAGTTTGTGATTGAGCCATTTTTACTACTCCCAGCTAAATTGTCTACAGAATCACCTATACATGGACCATTTTCCATAGCTATGTAAAAGAGCTAGAGGATGATCCTAAAAGCTACTACCCTGCGGTAATCAATTATGGCTAGCTGGAAAATCTTCGAACCAAATGGAGGCTTCAATGGGAAAACCATCTGTATAAATGGAGGTGTTGATTGGAAAATCAAAGAACATCATCTAGTTTTCCATGGGAGAATCATCGATCGAAACAGAAACAGTGAATTTTCCACTGGTTGGTGGTTTGGAACATGAATTTTATTTTTCCATATATTGGGAATGTCATCATCCCAACTGACGAACTCATATTTTTCAGAGGGGTAGGTATACCACCAACCAGTCCAGCCCCCGGGTCGAATTCCCCAGAGATGTTCCTTCCCTCCGAGGATATCCCTGACGAGCTGCCATCAAGACGACCGTCTGCAAAGAGCGCCTTGACGACCTGATTTAAAGTTGTTTGATGTAGATATGATGATAATGATTATATATATATATATTATATATGAATATCATGAAATGTAATGAATATATAATGAATATGTAATGAAAATATAGTGAATATATAATGAATATATACTGAATATATATATATATGGTATATGCAGTAGATATATAGTATACATATACATATATATATGTGAATATATATATATATATATACAGTATTATATATATAGTATATGTAGATATGACATCATATATGACCTTGAAGTTGTTGCACAAGCATATGTTTTTCTATAAAGACGGTAGCGTTCCGCCAAGGCATGGTGCCGCGCAAGAGGCAAGAGATGGCCACACAGGCGGGCGGGTTTAGGCATTACCCTCTGGTAAACTAACAGTTTGCTATTGAAAATGGTGATTTATAGATGATTTATGGATGATTTACCTATTGAATCATGGTGATTTATAGATGATTTACCTATTGAAAATGGCCCAGTCGAAATAGTTGATTTACCTATCAGAAATGGTGATTTTCCATAGCAAACTGTTACATTACCAGAGGGTAAGCCTTGCGTAAGCAGTTGCGCAAGATACATGATACGACATAGGGAGTTACGACCTGGGGTTTTCAGAACAGCAATCTGTTTTTTTCTTTGTGTTTCAGAGAAAATTCATTCGATTACATTTTTCCAGACAGGGATTAGGGAAATGTGGGAATGCGACCATCACTGATGGTAAGTTCAACATAGTTCGTCCAGCAAGAATGATGTAATGATGTATGAAAAAAATGAGACATATAGTTGGATTCGATCAACTGCTGATCAGCCAGTGGATCCTTGGTACCCTCTGGCTATTTCAAGTAGCAAAGTGGAAAATCGGACCGTGCCCAAAAAATGAGGGTCAATGATTTTCGCATCATCCCCATGCTATGTTACCCTCTGGTAATTTAACATAGCTATTGAAAATGGCCATTTATAGTAAGTTTTCCCATAAAAAATTGTGATTTTCCATAGTTATGTGACAGTTTACCAGAGGGTAAATAGCCAGAGGGCATCACTGAAACTCTCATTTTCACATCGGCATCAGGTCGGCACCGTTTACTACATGGCACCGGAGGTCATGCGTGGTGAGGCCAGGGAGGTGTCTGGTGAAACATGTGTTTGTTTTTTTCTGTGTGGCCATACTGTAATTGATAGTATATAAATGTATATAAATGTATATAAGATATTTTAAGATACTTGGATGGTTCATAATTTAACTAATTAATCAATTACAAAAATACTTCACCATAGACAATTGACAGATTGAGTCATACATGTGTTTTTTTAATGGATGATTGGCCTTGTAAAAACTAGTGTTTTTCCATAGCTATGTCAAATTTCCAGAGGACACATATATTATTATACAATATGTATATATATATATATTTATAAGTATATAAGTATAGTAAACCCCAAAAAGATAGAACAGGAAAATCAAAGAAAAAGATAGTGGTGGAATACTCCTCTACCTGTTTGGGGGCTACTTCCATGTCAACCTCGGATTTGGATGGAGTCGCAGGCCGTTGAATCGTTGAACTCACTATTTGGGGGGTACCACCTGAAGAATCAACCAGGGCTTATGAATCCGGGGTTGACATAAAGATTGACGATGGGTTTTCAGGACATATCGCATTGACATATATTGAAATGATAGTAGATCCGACCTGTACCATGCTGGTGACGTCCCAGTGGTTGTGTACATCAACATAGAAATGTGGATATCTAGTATTGCCAGTATTGCTTTGAATATATATTTCATCCTGTGACTATGACCGTGTTTTGACCAATATTGGGTTGTCAATGAAGGATCGGTTCGAACTAATTTACTGTAATTAATACAGTACCCCATGTGATCCCCCAAAAATGGATGGTTAAATAAATCATGCCAAATAGTGAACTTCTGAATATGACAAGGCATCTGCAGCTCCATTGGTGCAAGAAAAAAGGAAGGCACACCAGTCGGTGGTTTTTATTGTTTATTTGTTTCTTTTTTTATAGGGATATGTGACTGGAGTGATCATCCCCAATGAATAAAAATGTGTTTTCTCAGGCCATAGAAATGCCTGCTTCGACGACCAGGTGAGCCCCGCCTGCGACGTGTGGGCCGTTGGAGCACGGAACTCAGTGTGGAGGATTGTCGATTTGGGTTTGTGCAGAAATGACCATTTTTGTTCTGTGGGGGAAGATGAGATTCCACAGCAAAACAGATCTTTTTGGTGCTTGATTTGGACAGATGTCCCAAATTCCCATTGGTTGGTTGATTAATAGAGATGGGTTTGAACAAACCCCTTTAATAACAGGTAAATGATGATAGATGGTATGCCAGCTCCCGACCCCTCGATTTTTACCAAAAGGACATGATTGATTTGGACACAAAGGAAGACTATGGAAGAATGTTGGTGGTTTAGATGGTTTGAGATCGTTTTAGAGTCATTTTTCAGAGGAAACACTTGCCAACATGTCTGACTCTCAACTTCGCTTACCAGAGAGTGCCAGGAATGTCATGTTTAGGGGGATAGAACGTTGTTGATGGTCGGTTTTGGTTTGGTTGGAGTGATTCCACAAATCAAAGTCATCGAATCCCAAAGCATGCATATCATTTAGGTTATTTATATATATACACATAATTATTTTACTGAAAAGATTTGCATGCAAGCAACGCTTCTAGAAATCACCCACACCAGAACCGGCATGATATGTTCGTGGTTTTATACCCCCAGATTTGTGTTGGATACATCGCACGTACCCATATGTTTCTTGATGTCTTGATGGTCATATCATCATATCCCCATAGTTGTTGATTGCTTCCATAGATGTCCCAAATTCCCATTGGTTGGTTGATGAAAAAAGAGGGCTTTGTTTACAAACCCCTTTAATAACAGGTAAATGATGATAAATGGTATGCCAGCTCCCGGCACCTCGATTTTTACCAAAAGGACATTATTGATTGCTTCGTTTCATAAACCACATTTGGGGTTCCTGGCAGGTCATGACCTATGAGCGGCTCGGCTTGGTGGTTTTATGCTGGATTTTTCATGGCTGATATTGGCAGATAGAGATAGTTCATGGGTTTTATATAATATATAGATTATATATATATATTAAATTATTATATATTATAATATATATATATTTATTTATTGATTTACATATATAACCTCAAATGAAATGTAATTAGTTGTTGACAAGATGGTTTCGCTTGGTCATGGAATGTCCGTGTTGCTTTTGTTTAACACCCCGGTGGAAAAGTCATGGGATTTGTCCACCGGGACCACTGGTGCACCACCTTGTTGGCTCAGATCACCCACGGAAAAAAGGGATACCCTCTGGTAAACTTACCTGGTTGGTGGTTTGGACCATGACTTTTATTTTTCCATATATTGGGAATAATCATCCCAACTGACTTTCATATTTTTCAGAGGGGTTGAAACCATCAACCAGTTACATAGCTATAGAAAATCACCATTGTTTCATAGGTAAATCAACCGAACTCAATCACCATGTTCAATAGCATACTGTTAATCATGACCAGAGGCTACACTGTTTCCAATCTTCACCCCAAGACTCCTGTATTGGTAATTGACACCAATTTGTATACACCACCCATGTTTTTTTCTCACCTGGTGGCGCCATAGGAACTATGGCTGGGGGTTCCAATCCCACCTGGGATATCTTGAGACTCCAGGGGTCGGCTACGCCAGGTGTTTGTACGGATCACCACCATTCCATGCCAACGAGGAGCCAGACGAGGTACGCGTCCCGGCGTCCCGCGCGGTTCGACAAACGTGGGAACACCTCTGGTTTGTTTCAAACGTGCCGCAGGTTGGAAAATCCACCATTTAGTTCGATAAACCTCCATTTATAGGGGATGTCCATAGATTTCCCAACTAGCCACGTTACGCCACGTTTGATTACTGGAGGGTAAACCTTGTTGACCCTTTTTGGATCGTTGGTCAATGATTTTTATTTGAAGGACAAGTGGATCATAGTGGATCCCTCTATCAAGATACGTACTTATTTCCAGTGTATGCAGGGTTGCTGCGAGGAAATTTTCCTGGGGGATCATCTCCCCATGAAGGCTATCGGATGTGGTATCTTCAGTGGATTGGTTGGAAAATCGGCCCCCAAGCCACCGAACCATACCGAAGCCATGGTGCAAATGATGATGTCCTGTGGGATTTTCCCCCAAACCCCATTGATTTAAGCAACATCTACATCTGCTCGAAACAACGGGGCAGTGTTGCCAGCTCTTGGGGACTTCCTGGGCAATTAGCACACACACGACGGAGGAATACTACGCATTTACATGGAACATAAAAAGCATGAAGTTACAAGATGATGTGTTTTGTTGTTGTTTTAAATGAACTTATCGTTCTTGAGTTCAATGCAGTAAGCACACCTTGCAAGGCAAAATACCCCCACTGCTTTCGACTGAATGATGTTTCATTTTTAAGTCAAAATGGGTGGGTCCATTGCTATGTTTGCCTACCAGAAGCTACCACAGGGTAATCCAGAATCTAGATAAATCTAGAATCTAGAAATCCATAGAAAGGAGCGCTTTTCCCTTGGCAGGCTCGATTGCCCGAGGGTCTGTTTCTATTCCCACTTCAAGACTTGGATGATAGCCACTCAACTTCATATTTCGCAGATTGGTGGAATCAACCAAACGGTGGAACAACTGGTAATCAAACATGGCAATGGAACATCAAGAAAATCAACCCTTTTCTTTTGTTTAGTAGGAAGTAGGATTTAGTAGTGGTTGCTGGTAGATGGTTTTCCTACCAAGAAATATGGATTTTCCTTTTTTTCCATATGGCATATGGATGCAGATGGTACCCGGAGGGTACTGGTACCCTCCATCAGCCACTTCCAGGGCAAACGAAAACACATCATGCGGCAGCTGGTGCTCGGCCCTAGAAACCCATGGGCTTTGGAGGGGCAAACATCACCCTCAAGGCACACCAAAAAGGTGGTTCTGTATGAAGAAGATAAAGGACGAAGCCAGATGTGCTTATTTGTCAAAGCAATTGTGAAAGTATATCTATAGACATCCTCTCATGGTTAGAAGAATCACCTTCCGAACTTATATTTCAGATCATAAATTGGATCCAATTTATGGAGATGTGACATCAAAGACTTGAGAAACTCTCACCCATCAAATGGCAAAAAAACCCATCCATGGCCCGTCCATGGCCATTCATCCCCTGTGCCCATGTTGTATTTCCCATGGTATTTCCATGATTGTCTCATATATTCATGGTATTTCCCTATGGAACCAGATACTTCGAAGGGACTGAACCCTCCAGGTTGTACTTCCTCAGATTTCCGAAAAATTCCTCAGAACTTAGCGGACTGGATCCATTGGGTTTGTTATTTGTTCTTCAGCAGCGGTCTTTTCCCAGATCATCAACCACAAGAAGACCTTTCCTTCGTGCCAGCCTCAGCTGGAGTGGTTGAGAAGGTACGATCTCATGGAGTGGGAGGTCTCCCATGATTTCCTAAAACATGACGTTCTGGGAAAGATAGTTCTTTGATTACCCTTTGGTAAACAGCCACATCACGAACTGGAAAGATCCACCAGTTTGAATGTGTAAATCAACTATTCTATGGCCACTTTCAATAGCTATGTTTGTTTACCGGAGGGTAAATTCTTCTTGAATTTCCGCCATTTCCCTCGAAAGCAGCAAAAACTTGTGGTTCCAGGTTGAATTTGGACCCACTTTACCTGGAAATAAGGGACCGTGACATCACCAGGGAAGCGACCAAGGGAGCTGAAATAACCTTGGCCGAGAATCGGCTGATGACATTTACAGAAAATCCTCAGAGTTTTTGGATATGTGTGGATGGCTCAAAACATGTAAAAACATGTCATTACCCTCTGGTAAACTGTTACATAACTATGGAAAATCACCATTTCTAATAGGTAAATCAGCTATTTCTATGGCCATTTTCAATAGCTATGTCACAAATTACCGGAGGGTATCATATTTTGGGGGAGTAAACATCCATTAACCAGCAACGGTACCAGGGTTTTGACATGTTCCGACCCATAAGCATTCCAGATGAGTCAAGCCAATACGGTACCAGGCCACAAAATGGGTCATTTCTATAGTAAGAACAGTGGCTTTCCCATGGCGTATGGAGTAAATATATGTGTATACACACATATATATATATATTATATGTATGTATCATATATATATATATATTTACAATATTATAAACATAGAACTGTATGTATGTAAGTATCATCAGCAAAAAAACTGGAAACAAGTTTTGGGATTGTCAAGCAATATATTAGAAATCACCTATAATAACATATTAGAAGTCCCCTATAGCCGATAACAACCCCTAATCAATAGTATTTATAATCAATAGTAATCCAATACCAGGAAATTCCAATAGTTTGTGTGTTTCCCATCTATTGTAACTGTCGATAAATAGGTTTAAGAAACGGTTTCTTGCTCAAAACAATATAACCAATAGTAATAATGCCAATAGTAAATAATAGTAATAGTAATCAATCCCTAATCAATGAGAAAATCACAATATATTAATTAGTGATGACACTATTGTGATAATTAATATAGTATGCCTATAGTATGCCTATAGTAATCATGCCAATAAACATGTACCCTTGCCTGCGCTTCCGCTTGAAATGCTCTCCCCCTATAGGCGCTTGACGAAGGCCAAGAAATTCGGAGCCGGGAACCCAACGGGGACATCTTGGGACGGCGCTGTCGTTGGGTCGTTGAATGGCGTACCCCAAAATGGGTGAAGCAGTACCCATAGGATCCATGTATGCTATATATGGTAACATGGATCCCATCAATATACCCCCAATGTTAGCATATATACCATACATGGATCCTATGGGGTATGGAACTACGTTGATATATCAACACATATCAAACATAGGTTCCTTAGCCAAAAATGGTTTGCAATTGGTGAAGCACAGCAAGGCCACTGGCGGAACAAGCTTTCTGAAAGGGTGACCCGTTCAGGTAGTCCATCCCCAAAATGATTTATCGATGCTTTAGTTTAGCTTTGTGATGGAAACTTCATTCAGGGACAAACCAGCAAAGTGTCCAATTATCTTAAATCGCCTGGCAATTGCGGGTTTCACTTTGTTCATTGAATGCGTGGTGCATGCAACCCTAATCTACAGACTTGTGAAGGCAAGTATGCAGTCTCAGAAATCACTAGAGACAGAACCACTCACTAGTCTTAGTTGTATCCCATGTACTGTGATATTTGCATGTTTGCTGGTTGTATCATCACAGTATCTACTTCGATGATACAAGCAGAACACCCAAGATTTGCTATGAATGTGTGTACATTGAATCCATTGCTTTCTTACACAGTCCAATTCGGTCCAGTCCCCACTGTTTCACTGTGGAAATGTGACGACGTTACAAAGTTACATGTCCACTGTTCGTTGGTAACGAGATTCCGAAACTTTGTTGATATTAGTTGCATACCCTTTGACCATGTCCCATTTTTTATTGATTGCAGATCCCACTTGGATCGAATGCTGAGCTTTGTTGGTTCTATCCCCTTTCTTGCTTGTTCAATTTGAGTACTTGCTCAGCATTTGGGTGTCTCTTGGTGAAATCCATATATATATATATATGTATATAATCAGATGTATATATTATTAATAATGATAATGATAATAATGATAATAATGATAATAATAATATATATTTATATGATCATATATGTATAATACATACAAATATGCATAAAATATTACTCATACATAACATATATATATATATACTTATATATATAGTACACATATATGCATGATTCAAATCAAATCCACATTTTCCAAAGATCCAAGGCTTCCCATGCTTGAAACTTGCGCCACGGCCCAGTTCCTCACTGACGATGCAGAGCGCTTTCTGACAGGAATCATTTGTGAACCGTCGGCGCCTTAGTAAGGAAAGACCAGCCCTGGATCAGCGAAGGTTTTCCAACGGGTTTTTACAATAGGCACTTGGTCAAGTGGCAAGGGGCAAGTGCTGCCTTCAAGAGAGTTTACCTATCTCTTTTGGGAAATGCTAAAAACCCTGTTGATCCAAAACCCCACTGATCTAGGGCTGGCTTCGACATCCGGACTTACTCCACGTTTGTGACTGTGGAGGAAGTTCTTCAACATGGTGAAACCCGCAGCACTTCAAAGCGAAGTAAGCGAAGTATGTGGTTGGTGTCCTGCTTGGCAGAAAGTCTTGCTGAATATTGATCTTGCAGGACAGTGCGACTTCCAATCTCGTTGGGAACTCAATGTGGTGCTCACAGGACCTATCATGTCGCTAGTTGAACATCAAGTGGATATTATGCCCCAGGATGTTCCAGTGATCAAAGGAAGTTGAGAATCAATCTTCCGAGTTACGGATGAAGTGTAGTGCAGCAACAATACATCACATATCAATACATCACATCACAATACATCACATCACAATATATCACATCACAATATATCACATAACAATACATCACATAACAATACATCACATAAGAATACATCACATAACAATACATCACGTAACAATACATCACATGACAATACATCTCATGACAATACATCACATGACCATACGCCATATGACAATACATCACATAACAATACATCACATAGCAATACTGCTGCAAAACGCATTGTAATGGCTGCATGAATGTTGCATGGGAGTTGTGTTGGGGAGGAAGCCGGAGCACGAAACCGTGTGTTTTTCCGTGTTAAGTGGCTGCAGGCGGCGATGAAGGGTACCTTGTGTGTGCGCCGGAGGTCGAATGGGTTCTCCCTTGGTGTTCTGCAAGGCGTGGTTGCTCACGTGTGCGTATTTCTATGCGCTTGTTGAATCCCTGGTTTTAGATTGCAGTGTGATTGTTGTCACGTTTTGTTGCCATGTGCGTAGAGAGATGCGGATTAGTCACGTGATGCTGCAAAACGCAATGTAATGGCTGTACAAAGTAGTACTGGGACATGCTTTGTGCAAGCTTTGTAGTACAAGGTAGTACAGGGACATTCTGCTTGCGAGCTTTGTAGTGCACAGTAGTACTGGGACGTGCCTTGTGCAAGCTTTGTAGTACAAGGTAGTACAGGGACATTCTGCTTGCGAGCTTTGTAGTGCACAGTAGTACTGGGACGTGCCTTGTGCAAGCTTTGTAGTACAAGGTAGTATACTGGGAAGTCCCTTTTGCGAGCTTTGTAGTACAAGGTAGTACTGGGAAGTACTTTGTACAAGCTTTGTAGTACAAAGCAGTACTGGGAAATACTTTGTGCAAGCTTTGTAGTACAATGTAGTACTGGGACATGCTTTGTGCAAGCTTTGTAGTAGAAAGTAGTACTGGGTAGTGCTTTGTGCAAGCTTTGTAGCACAAAGTAGTACTGGGCAGTGCTTTGCACAAGCTTTGTAGTACAAAGTAGTACTGGGACGTGCTGTGTGCAAACTTTGTAGTACAAAGTAGTTCTGCAAAGTGCACTGTGCAAGCGTTGTCGTACAAAGTAGTACTAGGAAATACTTTGTGCAAGCTTTGTAGTACAATGTAGTACTGGGACGTGCTTTGAAATTTGTGCAAGCTTTGTAGTACAAAGTAGTACTGGGACGTGGTTTGCGCAGGCTTTGTAGTACAAAGTAGTCCTGGGACATGCCTTGTGCAAACTTTTTAGTACAAAGTAGTACTGGGACTTGCTTTGTGCAAGCCTTGTTGTACAACGTAGTGCTGTGACGTGCTTTGTGCAAGCTTTGTAGTACCTAAGTAGTACTGGGACGTGGTTTGCGCAAGCTTTGTAGTACAAAGTAGCACTGGGGAGTGCTTTGTGCAACCTTTGTAGTACAAAGTAGTACTGGGATGTACTTTGTGCAAGCTTTGTAGTACCTAAGTAGTACTGGGGAGTGCTTTGTGCAAGCTGTGTAGTACAAACTAGTACTGGGAAGTGCTTTGTGCAAGCTTTGTGGTACAACATATTTTGGCAAGGCTTTTCTGTGTAAATGCATCTGTGCCTCAAGCTTCTGTGTGCAAAAGCTTTCTGCGCCCAACGGTTTTTTGCAAGAGTCTTCTCTCTGACAGTAAGAGCTTTCTGGCGTGCAGAACAGCTGAGATGAGTTGAGGCGAACTTCGAGGATGATCAGTGCTCGGATGAGATGAAAACAATTGAGAAGAACTTCCTTAGATGACGTGTGAGAAGAGATGGGATGAGATGAGAAGAGTTGAGATGAGGTGAGAAGAGGTGAGAAGAGATCAGATGAGATGAGATGAGATGAGATGAAGTGTGGAGTGTGAAGTGCAAGTGTGAAGTGTGAAGAAAGTGTTCACTTGGCGTTGCGTTGCACCGGGGTCGCGCGCAGGTCATGTTCTTGGACAACAACAGCGCAACAGGTTCGCACAAAGCACGCGGGCCTGGCTGGCGCACGGCGCACGCAAGTTCTATTGATGAGAAAGGTTTTAGAGTATAACTCTAAGGCAACTTCCGGCCCGCCTCGTGCGGGCACTACTGGTGTTCCAAGTATAGCCGAAGTCTATGTTATATGTATTTAAACAAATATAAACTATACCATATCTCACTTGTATGAACACATTTGCCATGTACGTATTTGTTCATAAGTTGATATTTATATATATATATATGATGTCATCTTGGCGACTGCAACCAGTTGTCCAGTAGGATATACTAGACATTTCCCAGTTACAACCCTTTGTAAATCCACATGGCAATCCAACCCGTTTCCTTCAGCTGGATCCAAGCAGTGCCTAGGCAGTGTCGAGAAGAACCCTTCTTCAAGGGCCTTGACTTCTCGCAGCTTCGGCTGAAGGTTAAGATGAGTGTATTGAAAATGGATGAAAATGGGATATACCCCTAAATGGTTATTTTCGGATATACCATTTTAATTTTCAGTCAAACCCAGATATGGGCAGTGGCTGCCATCTACCCCCATTACTGGATGATTGTAGGGTAGTATGCCAAACCGAATCTACTGGGGATTCTCATGATGTGAATCCCATCTCAGCCATAAAATCCAATGGATATTCATCCTACATGGAGTTGTCCAAGGGGAAACCGATCATTTTTGGTGAATGGTTTGGGGTACCTCTACTTGAAAGGAAACACTCGAATTGTCAGCAAATATCCAAAATCACCTCAGTCATGAAATACCAATGATCTGTTAGCAAGGAATGGAAACTGAAGGTTGGTCCTAGGGAAGTGTGTTCTTGTGTAGAATTCGATGTTTTCAACAGGTTGGGACAACATGCCCATCAAAACTTGATAAAACATACCTGTTAAACTAATAACTATAGAAAATCACAATTTTTCATCAACTATTTCTGTGGCCATTTCCAATAGCAAACAGATAGTTTACCGGTAGTGTTTGTTCCCATTTGTGGCTATCCCTCTTGGGATTTACACCGGCTTGAGAGGCGTTTGCATTTGATGGAGCCGCCGATCAAACCGGAACTCGATGGTTTTTGCGCCATGTTTACACCGTGAGTCGAAGGTAGATCTTGTGTTTCTAAGCCATGAATGCACGTACATGGAGGATAATGGATAAATGCAATATTCCAGATTCCAGAAACCCCACTACTATAGGCAGTGCATAATTCCATGTTGTACCTATATCTAATTAATACATTTCTATGTATCTATTGTATATGCACGGATGCTTCAAGGTACACAATGTTTGATTCGCAATGATGCGCTATAGTCATGTTCCCCACATGCACAGAATCACACTGAAAAGAAGAGGTGAACTGGATTGTTTTGCTAGTGTATGGCTATTTGTTTTGGGTGCAGCAGCAAACAAGTTCAGAGTTGGATTTTTCAGTCTAGTGTTTTTGGATTTTTTGGACCTGTCAGACAGCTGTGGGTTTGAATAATGCGGCCATATCGCTGGTTTTACCTGGTAGGGAAAGGAAGGCTGTTGGATGTTCTCTGTAGCACAAAAAGACAGAAGCAAACACATTACATAAAGCCCCCTCCAAAGGCCCAAAACCACGGTACTCTGCTGTTAAGTCTGGTATTTGAGCCTGCCTATTACATCATGGGCACTCTGTTTCAACCATATACATTATATATATGTATGTATGTATGTATGTATGTATGTATGTATGTATGTATGTATGTATGTATGTATGTATGTATGTATGTATGTATCCCTGCTAAGTCGTGGGTCTGGTTTGGTTCTTTTATAGATTTCATTGGCATGTGCACATCTATATCCTCTTTGTCTATGTAAATATACAATCACTATATATATATCATTATATATGTATATAAACATATATACATATTTATATATTATATAATTATATATACTGCAACTATATATATATATATATACTATATACATAAATGTGTGTATATATATATGTATACATTAACATTATCGATAAAGGCATCTATGTCCACATGTGGTAGGTCAACATCTCAGTGTTGGCTTGAAATATCCCCGAAGCCCATCCGATGTCGATGGCAGGCTTTTTGGTGCCCCATTGCCCCAAACCATTGGGAATATAACCTGCCAAAGTTATACTGTTGATCGTTTTGGACATAGTTGATAGAATAACTATATTGATAGTATAACTGTTAGAATATCATTCCAATGACGAATACCCCAGTAGTTATACTAATTATCAGCAGTTGCAGTTGTTTTTCCTAAGAAAAATCGCTACCCTCTGGTAATCAAACATGGCTGGCAACGGGCAATCCACGATTTAGTGAGATAATTTTCCCAACAACCACTTAACTTCCATTTTTATAGTGCATCTTCTTATGAAAACCTCCATGGATTTTCTGATTTTCCTTTGATTTTCCTATGAAAAGCTCCATTTACAGCGGATTGTCCCATGGATTTTCCCACGTTTCAACACGTCCTAAGGCCGGCCGTGGGGGAAAATGGCCAGCGCCAGGCCCAGCGGATCTGCGACACTTCGACGACTTTCCCTTCAAGAAGTTGCCGGACGCCGAGGAGCGAGGGACATACGGCCATCATGTTCTGGCTGGTAATGGGGATACCCAAGAAATGGATGGTTTTCTGATTGGAAAATCCCAATCTATGTTCTGGCTTGGTGGTTTGGAACCATGGGCTTTTATGACTTTCCATATAATGGCAACACCGGATTAATACCCCACCCACAAGGTCAGATGGACCTTGTAAGGTCTTTCCTAGCGTTCCCCCTTAATAATAAGCGCCCTCTGAACCATACAATTTTCTGGGTTTGGATATGATGAGATTTGATAAGATTTGATTGTCATAATCTCATGGAACCCATAATATTCCATTGGACTTGATAAAATTCCATTGGATGTGCTGAGATTTGATTATCCGCAGCCATTTTGGTTCATTCTCAGCCTTAGGAGATTTCATTGCTAAAATCTCACATTTCAGCACTGGTGGTTGATTATCCGCAGTCATTTTGGCTCATTGCCAGCCTCGCGAGATTTGATTGCTAAAATCTCACATTTCAGCACTGGTGGTTGATTTTCCGCAGCCGTTTTGGCTCATTCTCAGCCTCGTGAGATTTGATTGCTAAAATCTCACGTGTCTGAAATTGATGAAACATGATGAAAAACAATAGGAATTGGAAATAGAGAAATTTGGTTAAAAACAAAAGGAATTTCAGCACTGTTGCTTTGTTAATCGGGGGTAGGCCAAGGAGTTTATTAATCCCGGGGGGCCACCTGTTTTTAAATTCCAAAAATTGTTTGGGGCAGTGGTGGTTGATTTATCCGGCAGGGTTGATTAATCCTGACTTGACATTATTGGGAACAATAATCCCATTTGACTTTCATATTTTTCAGAGGGGTTGAAACCACCAACCGGATGGCCTTAAGCAATGGCCTTCATAAATTCTAGAAAACATAAATGGGACATCCTGACATAGATTAATATCATTTATGTATGGCCTACATTTATTCATCTTATGAATTTTGCGATAAATGGATGTTTTTTTATTGGACATGTTGGAATAAGTGCCAATTTGAATGGGAAGTTGGATCTGATACATGATTTGACTACGGAGTTGGCCAACGCTGCGACCTTTCGATCGATTTTTTGTAGTTGTCCAGTTTTGAAGGTGACTAAGGTGACGATCCCAAGTGCCGGTCCCACATATTAGATGCTCTCTGGTGATTAGGGAGAAAAGGAACTATGGTTGTCTCCATATTTTTCCTAGAAAATATGGGGAACCAGTTGGAACCACTAAGACGAATTGAGCTTCCCAGCCACTGTATATCTACCATAAACATTCATAAGCCACCCCACAGTGCAGGTTGGCTGTGCCAAGCAGGCACTGTGATAATGGCCGGGCTGGGGATAGCAAGGTTGATGATGGCGGTGATGGTGATGATGATTGTTTTTGGCCCCCTAGTGATGGCCAATAGGAAATGAGAATGGGTGAATTGGGCCTGAAGGTTGGCACTCCAGTGAGCCGTTGTTGCTGGTTGTATTCATTTTGTTTTTGTTGGTTCCATTTTTTGCGCTGCGTTGACAATATCATGGAATCATGGAGTTTCCTTCAACGATTGTTAGTGCAACATGTTTTGTATTTTCAACCAGGATTGGTATGTAACCAGCAAAACGGTAGATTCAGCCAGAGGGATGTGGAATTCAATTGATAGAAGTCGAGTCTTTGTCAAAAGGTATCTTCTTGTTTCTGTATACTGTATACCTTGAATCTACCAAAAAGTGTCCGATCCACAAGTCGGTATAACTGTACAGCCTTGGTCCGTTGAGTGGTTTCCACATGATTCTTCATCGCAACATGTATAAGTGCTCCCGTGGTGAGCTTCGCATATATTTTTCAGCGGGTTGGACGTGCGCCAGCAAACACACGCAAAAGCCATCAACATTTTTTAATGGACAGTAAACAAGTACATTAGAAGGCATCGCAGTTGGAAGGTGTTTTTAATCCGGTTCCTGACCATTTGGCTAACTTCTTATTCATCTCTCTAGTAGAGTTATTTGTGTTCAAAAAGAGGTCCTCCGCCAACTCCCGGAAATGTCAGTATAATTATCATTGCTTTGGGCTGGGCTTGGAGTGTACCCGGTGATGCCCAGGATCCATCTATGGAATGGACCAATTACGACTTCGATCGCGATGCCTTTGAATTACGGCGACCAGAGGTGCCAAAATGTGCCGTCAGGGAGCCATGTTCTTCCCACAGTGCCTAGGGAATGACACAGACTCTGACCCAAGAATTGAGTTGGAAAATTATTTTCCTCGACCTCATTTACTTTCTTGGTTACTTTCTTGTTGTTGCGGGTGAACTTTGCAGGAGGTGTATCATGAGTGCTCCATCGATCCCTCCCAAAAATATGTTAGATAACATTAGATATATCTCTTGGCTTGAGTGCTGTTTTGGGGTTCCCATTGAATTGCCGCCCTTCAACTGACTCGTCGCTGTGGAATCAAATCAGGCTCAAGGGATGGGAGTTGATTGGTTTCCAGACACGATGCGCGTACTCCCGTGGATCTCGGACCCTCCAGTTGACTGATACCCTGATACCTACAATGTGAGGCCCCCAAGATAGCTAAGTTGGTTTATAACGCCAATAACTATGGTTTATGGTACTGATAACTATAGTTACTTGGGCTTATAAACCAACAAACATCACTGGGGGGCCTCACATTGTACCAATGCTTCTGAGAGGCTTCCTAAGTTTCTAAGTGAGCAAATCCTTCGCAAGTGGGTTATACGATGCAAAAGCACCAGAATGTAGTAATCATTGACAAGACTCAGTTGGATCATTCCAGCCTTCCCGCGAACCCTTGGTGAAGTGTACTGGCTCTATTCATGACTCATGACTTAAGGGTCCTATATTGATCCATATTGGGGTATTTAAGATTGGGGGATGGGCCATATCTCCCAATATATCCCCATTCTTGTCGATTAAAGTTTCCAGTCATGTTTTTTCTTACATTTCCATTTGTATTAGCAGGGTAGATTAAAATTGCTTTAAACATGGATTATATAAATCATATGAAATCTCCATTTCAGAACGGTGAGACCATGTGAGACCCCCATTTTGGTATGGCTAACCCCCACTTTCTTCCAGCGACGCAGGGTGTCAAAGAGCTGCTTGGGGTCACACAGGAGGCTCGCGCGGCATGGGAGAAGACAAGGTGGGGATGGTACACAACTTGGAGGCTTCTTGTCTGATGAATTCTTCTACATGTTTATTTCAATAAGATGAACAGATAACATGAATATACATGAATACTATCATCCACCAAGTGGATAACAATCATATCGACTGGAGGTTTCCGAAGTCATACGCGCAGCCGCAAATCATCCAGTCATAAGACTATTTTAGTATCCAAACAACCATAGTGACTTTGGGATCCCCCATGACTTAAGAAACCCCATTTTGAAAAGATGGGGATGAGGTGATTTTACAACTACCTGTACCTTGTCACCTCCAAAACAGCCATGATACTGGAGTAATCTGGGAGTATCTCTTTGGTCTTAAAAACAGTGATGTCTTGTAGGAAAAGATGTTCCTGCATGCCTCAAAGCTGCATCTGCCTTGGATGTGCATCTCAAGAAAGGGCTTCCTTAAGCCCTGGCCCCTGGCAATGGCCCCGTTTCATCCGTTCCTTTCAAAAGGTAGTCCCTCCAAGGGTCGCCAAGCAACACCAAACTCATCCAAGGGGTCGAATGGTTAATCACTGGAAGCTAAATCCAAGAGGATAAGTCCCATCTGGTTGGTGGTTTCAAACATTGTTTATTTTCCATAATATATGGGATAATCCTTCCCATTGACTAATATTTTTCAAGATGGTTAAAACCACCAACCAGTCATTAATTCTGTCACGATATCCCAGGATATCTCTATGATATCCAATTCTTCCCATTGCTTGATGATGAAGGTACGATTTTTGATCGTCAAAACCCCCGTGCTTTCGAACTCTTCAGCCACAGTCAACCGACGAGAAGATCATTGGCATGTGATTTGAGCACACGTACTTGATCCAGTCGCTTCCTCTCTTGTGTTCGGAACATGATATTCAACAAAGTGATCACTGCATGGAGAGACAGGCGACAGACAGACAGACAGACAGACAGACGGACAGACAGACGGACAGACAGACAGACAGACAGTCAGACAGACAGATAGATAGATAGATAGATAATAGATAGATCGATCATGGTAGATCGAGAGATAGATAGATCGATAGATAGATAAATAGATAGATAGATACATAGATAGATAGATAGATAGGTAGATAGATAGATAGATAGACAGATAGATAGATAGACAGATAGATAGACAGACAGATAGATATAGATAGATAGATAGATAGACAGATAGATAGATCGACCGATCGATAGATAGATAGACAGACAGAGAGACAGACAGATAGATAGATAGATAGATAGATAGATAGATAGATAGATATATAGATCGATAGATAGATCGATCATGGTAGATCGAGAGATAAATAGATAGATAGATAGATAGATAGATCGATCGATCGATAGATAGATAGAGGGTTGGAGGGATAGAGGGATAGAGGGATAGACAGATGGACAGAGGGGCAGATAAAGAGAGACACAGAGAGACAGAGAGACAGAGGTCCAGCCAGCCAGCCAGAAAGACAGACAGATAGATAGATAATGATAGACATGTATGCATGGTAAGTCTACTCTAACAAACTAAGAGTTGACTTGTGTTTGAAGTCTTTGGGTCCCAAGTTCTGAATCAAAGACCTTATGAAAAGACAACGTAGGGATTGTTTTTGTTGGAGGAAGTCGGGATCCGAATTCAACCGGAAATGGTGGTCTTTCACGCATGGCCCCTGTCGACTTCCGATCTCCGTTGATCCGAGCCTGGTGATATCATGGGGATGGAGAGCCCCTTCCCATTTCGGTGACTCTCCCCAGAAAGGAATGATCTTTGTCCATCGAAGTGTCACCTTCGGGAGGCGAAATTTCCGACCTATCCCAGAGATACTCAGCGAAACGAACTATACCTCGAGCTAGCATAAAGTAGATAGCTAAGTTGGTTTATAACTCCAATAACTATGGTTTATGGTACTTATAACTATAGTTACCGGGGTTTAAAAACCAACTTATAACTGGGTGGCCTCACATTGTAGGGAACTGCAGACGTTTTTTTTGCATATCATTTTGATCCTCTCAGTGATAAATCCACGTGTCGATCTGGGAATGCTTCGTGGGTCGAATCTGAAAAGCCCCATGATTGGACCTGATCCGATCATTTGTTCCTAAAATGATGTGTTTTGCTGGTAACAACTAACAGCAACGTTTCATTAAAAAAATGGATCTCCTGAAATTTTCAGTTCACCCAAGTAAGTCACCGACAAATAGGCACAGCCCTTCATTTTGCCTCCGTTTTGAATTGGTCATTGGTTCCCATGTTCTTTGTACTGTCATTCTGTAAGCGGTTTCCATGATGCACGAATTCGGCGGGGCCATATCCCAACCATTTCTGGTGCACGATGTGACGGTGGATCGATTGCATGGCCAGTCCGATCAGACGATCATTGGCTGAACTGCGCTGATCACACTGAAGCTGGTTGGTGGTTTGAAATATGTTTTATTTTTGCCCCGATCTTGGATGATCCTAATTGACAAGCATATTGCTGGGCTGTCTTTAATTGCAAGATCGCCAACACCAACCAGTTGTTTTAGATTTGCCAACACCGCCTTTAAGGCACTTTTTTTTTGGTTGGCCGCCTGACGTTGGAGTCGCGTTGTGGTTGATCCTACCAAAATGGGAGAATGAAGGCAGTATTGGGGTTAAGTAGGATTAGGATAAACACCGATAGACCCACTGGATCCTGGTAGCATAAGACTGGCCGTGACTAAGCTATGCACCTGCATTGTACCTCAACACTGGTGGGATCCATCATGGTGCCACTTTTGCAAGGCTTCCTCTTTGGTTTTTGCAGTGCGGGAGGTGCTCCAGATGGAGTTCACCCGAGCAGTGATGTGACCGTGGCATGGTCGGTTCAAGAGAAACCCCTGGTTGAAGCCACTAGATTTCATGATATTTCATGTGAGTCCGAAACATCAAGCTGCTTCTGTCCTTTCTGAAGAGTACTCTACAACCCTCCAATGTACCCGGACAACGTGCCACAGCAATTCGCGTTTTGTACTTGACCCCAACTGCCCACAGTGCAGATTGAAGATTGAAAGTAGCTGTTCAACAATGTTCAACATGATGGATTATGGGACCTTATGGGATCATTCTTTGGGATGAACTTACGATTTTGATGTCGTCAAAAACCCAAACTATGGCTCTCATTGGGATGGGTTGAAACCAGCAGAGAAGTTCGAGGTCACCCCAAAGTTGGTGAGTGTGTTTCGTAGAACCTTGACAAACCCCATGGAGTTGCATGAGTATACACATGCCATATTTTGCTGCTGTGCGGTCGCTGTGTCTACGGTTCTTCCAAGAAGTTATACACAGCTCTGGATTCCGAAGCCGCGGATTTGAGGTAAAAGAAGCCATGGCTTTTGATGCATTTTTGCAGTGCAACATGTCGGGATTCTTTGTCAGTTGGGTGAACTGAGACAGTTTTGTGCCGTCAGAGTTGCAGGTCATAGGGTTCATGGCTTTGGCATGCTTTGGCTGCTGTAGCCCGTTGTTTCCAATGGAACGGTTCGAAGGGTTTGGTTAAATATCGATGACCAATATCCAACTGACCGCCAGGGGCATCCTCACTGGATATCCCCAAGGACGGGGATAGGGTTTGGATGGCAGCCATTTCGGGTAACATCAGTGTATACAGCTCTGTATGCTCTGTTGGTCATGGTGAAAGTCCCTGATTCTTAGTGGCAACATGTGTCACGACTGATGGCACGTGGCAGCACGACTGATTCTTTGTCGACTGCACCGGCATCCCACGGCCCACATGCACAGGGTTTGATCGCATGGCTGGCATGTGTTTGCTGGCCCTATCTTCCGGTGAGACGCAGTTGTCGACTCTTGGATTGGGTGAAGCTTCGGGGGCTGGGTGGTGGAAGTGTGACCGTAATGTAATATGTACTTGTATGATCTTGTACGTTAAATTAAATAATATATATATATATACTATAAAAATACTATATTTATATGATTCATGAATATATATATATATATATGTGTCATATAGATATACATAAATATACATAAATATACATGATTTTAAATATACATAAAGATACATAGATTTACATATATATATATATAGACATACACATACATAAAAATACATAAATATACACATATACTTAAATTTACCAAATGTCATCAATCTTTTGATGTCTTTCACAGCTATGACATGCTTTGACCCGTACCTTAAAATGAATCGAAAACATGTGGGAACCCCCGGTGCCGCTGGTCTTTGGGGTTTCTTAAGTCATGGGAGATCCCCATGTCACCATCGGGTTCAATACGAAAAGGGTCTGACTTGGATGATTTGGGGTAGCCCTATTTTAGGAAACCTCCATTTAGTCAAAAAAATAGCTAGCTTTGTGGATCCTTCTTGGTTCAACCGGGGTCTCTGCAATACCACAGCATTCCAGTGGATGTTTTTGTGGTTTATAACCCACACAATCCATTGATCTAATCTAACTGGGGTACTTCATATCGTTAATTGCTGGTTGGTGCTTTTGTGGCGCGAAGCACATAAAATACCACAACGGGCAGATTGATAGATAGATAGATAGATAGATATATAGATCGATAGATAGATCGATCATGGTAGATCGAGAGATAAATAGATAGATAGATAGATAGATCGATAGATAGATAGATAGTCAGAGAAAGAGAGAGAAATAGTGAGAGAGATCAATCACCTTTCACTCCATCAGTGGCTTCGCTCTGCCATCCCTGATTCACAACAACCAACCTCTCCTATAGGTTTCCTATTTTTGAAACTTCCGCCACCGCCTTGTGCGGTACTACTGGTATCGTTAATTGCTGGTTGGTGCTTTGGAACATGTTTCATTTTTTTCCCGAATAGATGGGATGATGATCCAATCTGACGGTTTCTCATATTTTTCAGAGCCTTGATGGCAGCGTGCTGGGACTGGATATCCAGAAGTTTTGGGTCGCCAGAGCCAACTAAAACACCCACACATCCTCCCATGTCCACTAAGCACATATTAATAAACACCCCCAGGGACACATCACCCGTTTGATTTGCTTATGTTAAGCGTTTGATTTGCTAGGGAGTTTCTTCATGAAGGGGCTTGGGATTCCTCGAAAGTCCGATCATCTTCGATCATCTCAGAGATGGACCAGTAACCATTACCATTAACAATGCATGACTGGTTGGTGGTTTGGAACATGTTATATTTTCCATATATTGGGAATGTCATCATCCCAACTGACGAACTCATATTTTTCAGATGGGTAGGTCAACCACCAACCAGATGACCATAAACCAGATGAGACCTTTCGAGCCGTGTTCAACACCTCTGTTGATTGATGGTTAGTTTGGGGATGATATCTAATGATAGGTAGTTATACCATCCAGTTTTATAATGGGATGATCATCATCCGTTTTTTGGGAATCCCTTTCAAAACCATCCGGAATTTCGTGGAATGGAATGACACCTTGGGTCACCCATAGCTACCAACACATTGTTGGTTATATCCGTATTCTATTTTGAGGGTTTGTTTGTTACATGCTTATGTTCCGTATTCAAGATTCAATTTTTGCTAATGAAATCTTATGCATTCTAATATACTTTCATATCTAATGGTATATATGTTGTTTGCAGTAATACGTGGTCATCGCATCATGTTAGAATGACATATCGGTATCATCGATATCCCATTAGTGTCCATTAGTTGCACAGCATAATCCCATGATTGGAATTATCATCCCATGAGTTCGTTCGGTCTAAGGAGTTTGGAGGAGCATGCCTTGGCCTGGCTCTCGGCCAGTGGTTCGGCCTCGCAGCGATGAATCCAGGTTTAAACCAGGGATGTTCCT